ATAACTTTCCTACTTTAGTTTCCACATTTCTCACAGAAGCAACAATTGAGGCTCTCAACGTGGCGGCTGAAAGAAACTGAAGGGAGAGCCTTGGCACCAAGGTACAGTGGACCCTCTACTTAAGGAATTAATCCATATTGGAATGGTGGCTGCAAGTCGAAAAGTCTGTAGGTCGAATCTCCATTGACCTACAATGCATTGAAAACCGATTAATCCCATAACCAGCAGTTTTTATTCTATTTTTGTTCCATTTAGGTTTTTTTTCTGGTCTGTAAGTTGATTCTCCGGCTGCAAGTCGAATCTAAATTTTGCAGCCAGAGGAATCTGTAACTCGAAAAGTCTGTAAGTCGAGCCGTCTGTAAGTCGAGGGTCCACTGTACATGTACCACAGGGGAGGGGTCTATGCAATATATTTTCCTTTGCTACCGACGAAGCTCTAGAATATTCCAATGAGGCTCCGTGCATGCGCGGATTACCCACAGTGTGATTCACAGACAAGAACTGTAGAAAACTGTGTGGCAGGTTTTTCTGAAGTGGCTCTGCAGTAAGCTGCCATTCCATGTCAGACACTATCACCCTGTGGTCCGTCCCCCCCCCCGCCATATGGCAGTGACGTGTAAAGGGTGGACCTCCAGATGCTGCTAATTAGCAGCTTCTAGCATTTCTCATCAAGGTCAACACTGGCTAGGGCTGACGGCAGCTATGGCACAAAAGCATCAGGGGGACTGCTAAAGGGGCTTTCTGGTTCTCAGTGAGAGACCAAAGAGGTCTCTCGAAATGTTCAGAACTGTTCTTGCCTTTATGTCGTTTTCTGTTCTTTTAACGGTTACAAACATCTCAAAATGCTTAAATCAAATGCATATTACTAAGTGCACTGCAAAAGGCTTCTTGTACATTTTCAAAATTTTGACCCTGTTGTCGCTGGGCTTAAAACACACCCATGCCATCAGAGGCCACTTGTAGCTAAATAAGGCAGAGAACGAAAGTGACTTTCAGGAGCCTGAGGGTTCACCATGTCAGACTCCTTGGTGAAACACCGTATTTAGTGTCACAAAGAAATCCAGGAGTTAATTATCTGAGCACTGTACCCGTAGAAAGCCCTTCCCTCCTTTAGCAAGGCTGTCTCCAAAATCCTTCGGCTGACGTCCCATCTCCTCTCTTCTCTTCTGCTGGTACTCTTTATCCATAGTGATTGCAGCCAACCCCTTTCCAACAGAACCGGTGATCCGGGATACTACACCTGCCGCTCCACCTGTCAACAGGTAAAACAGAGCAGGTGAAAGTCTCCACCATGATCTCAAACAGAACAACCATCCATCCAAACCTAAAACAAAGCATTAAAGGTTCTACCCACTTGGCCCTTGCATGAATTTTCAGGTCAAAAATGTGCACGGTACTGGAAACGAGAGCGTGCTCAACATACCCACTGTGTGACCAAGCAGGCTTTTCACACCAATCACAAAACCTTCAGCAAACTCTTCAGGGCCTTGGACAGCTCCCTAAGAGAGAATTAAATCCTTATCCATCCATATATTAAGAGCATCAGTACATGCACATGGCTATGACTTTAGGCAGTTCTCTCAAGAGAACACAGGATTACAAAACTGCTGAACTTCTGAAAGTGGTCATTCCATGCTAAATTTCTAAGGAAGAAAGAGATGTTCTGTCAGCTGGAATGCGTGTCAAGAATGGAAATGAGGAAACCTACAGCCAGACAGATTCTCTGTGTGTGAGATTCCTCACTGGGAAATTATGGGAGTTGTAGTGTTTTCCAACTAAGTTTTCCAAGCTGAATTCAGCTCTTTCAGAAAATAGGTTTGTGGAAGGAACAGGGGCTGAATTTTATTTCACCACTGTTACCTGAAAGCTCTACCTCTATGCATAAATATGTAATTACAGGTTAGCAAGAACATACTGTTTTTTTTTCTTAAAATATACACTCAATAAACATGCCAGTTTTGGAATCTAATGACCAAAGTGCAAGGTCTTAACGCTATCAAAGCAATTTTTTTTTCAACCAGCCTCTTAGGACAATAAAGTTGCAAGGCTATCATACCTGGAAAGGTTCATAGAAGAAAGCTTCCACGCCCTCCGACAGGCCTCTGATTAAGCCAAAGGGATTCCCCAGAACATCAAGACCCAGCAGAAGAACATACATTTGTTTCAGGAACTGAAGGGAAAACCAACACAAGCACAAATTATTGCTGAAAGCTTAAACAAAATAGAAGGAAGACTTCACGTACACGGCAAAATAAAGTATATTGAGTGCTACATAAAGAGCAGTACAATACAAGCAGTACATTTAAAAACCATCCAAGCTCCAGGCCTCATGGAAACAGGGATATGGTGCCTCAACTGCTCAGAGAGATGGATGCTCTACTAAAAATGCAGAATGACACACAACTTACTTGATCTCGGTAATGTCCAATGACCTTCCACATTAATTCATCTCTTTTGTAAAACTGATACTTGATTTCGAAGAAAGCAAGCCTGAAAGAACCATCAAATGGAGAATAACGATTTGTCATTTTCTGCTGCTTCAAATGATTTTGTCTTTATACAGCCGCCTAGAGTGGAATGAGTCACACACACACACACACACCCAGATAGGCGGGATATAAATAAAATTAAAAATAAAAAAAATAAAAATCAGTGCCTTCCTAAAGAACTTCATATGCATCACTTCACTGATCTATACAGTTGAAGCCGAGGGACTGCAACTTCACAGCTGAGGTAAAGCTGGACAGGAAACCCAATACCTGTTTCTCTTACTTACTTCTCTGAATACCTGGCAACTATGCTCAATCAGAGCTGCAAACAACAACAACGAAACCCTTTGTGAATGGTGGAGATTCCCAACCTCGCTTTCCACCTAACTACTGAATCTTGGTCAGTTTTTTCAGAAGCGTCAGCCTGTCTGGAGACAGGACGATTAAAGACAAATCAGTACTGCAGATCCCAAAACAAGAACCTAGAAAGGGGAGAAAAATGAAGGCATGGCCCACTCACTTGAATATAAGATCATCCACATCGGTGAGGGTGGCCCCAATGCTCTTCAACAGCAGATTCACAGAATGGATGGCGATCATTTCTCCTTTACCCTTATCAGACGCTTCCCCGCCAGAGCCTAAGGAGAGGCTCAGATGCAGCTAAGAGACAATAATAGACACTTTGGGCATTATGGGTGACCATTCACTATGTCCTCCTACTATATTAAAATGGGAAAGATAAGAACAAAAAGGTGCTTGTTGCTTAGAAAAGTAAATATATTTATGCTAGGTTCTTGGAAACAGGTTTAAAATGCTCAGTTCTGCTGGTAATTTCATATCCATCAGATTAGACAGATTAGGCATCCTTCCGTCTCAGGTATGGTATCAAGACTATGGTATCGATTCCCACGCAAAAAAATAATACCATATACAGGCAAACCCACACATCCCTGTTAACACAGTACGCTGGAGGCTCTGTGAGAAGCCTTCTCTTGGCCAGCTACTTAAACTCCACTTATCCCTCCCGTGGTGCAAAAGGGACTGCCAAGAAAAGGCGGCCGCTGAGATTCTTGAGGAACTTATTAACTGAATTCCTCTCATTTTCTCTTACGTAGGCTAAGGTTATCGATGGCTGGGTGTGCCACAAATGTCCTTGAGGACATTTTTTTTTTAATTCCCTCCTTTCCTCATCATGGAAGATTCCCACGGCTGCTTCTCAGAGGGCTCACATCCAGGCACCAGCCACAGACACATCAGCTTCTTCTTCGACAGGGTTCTGTCTAGCAACACTTTCTGGAGGCCACGGTCCTTCCACACCTGCCACAGGGCTGCTGCATTTAGTGGCTGGAATCCTGCTGCACAGCTCTGGGTGAGCAGCAGCCATGTCAGCAGCAGCATCAAACTGGTGCTCTCTGTGGGGATTTCAGGGTGCCCATGACTTCGTCACATGAGTCTATGAGTCACACACACACAAACCCCTGAAATCCCCTTTGATCAGGGGCAAGGTGCTGCTGCTGACATCAACCCCACTGCACATGCAGAGCTGGGTAACAGGATTTCCACCAGTGTGAGCTTTTCCAGGGAGATTTTGAACCAGATAAGCTCACAATGAGACAAATCTCACACGTCTTTAAGTGCCACAATATTTTGGTCTGTACATTTCATTTCCCCCTTTAATTTTATCAACATATTTGAATATCTCAATAGGAGTGTAGAACACTCCCACAAATTGTAGAGTCTCTCCACCACGTCTATGAAAATGAAAAGAAATTTAGGTGAGCTGCCATTAGTAAAATAGAGCTCTGTTCCAGACTTCAAAGTTCTAAAAGCTCAGATTTAACAGAGGGCCCATAAATTACTTTGTGAGAAACCCAAGAGGCATTTTCTTCCATTTAGTTAGGTAGCTAACGAGGAGAGAAATTAAATGCGATGAAACCAGAGGAAGAATACAGCCACACTATTATGCTATGCTGAGGTTGTAAACAAAGAAAATTAAGCCGCTCAGAGTGGTATAGATTTACCAGATGAGCGGGATATAAATCAAATAAATAAATAAATAAATAAATAAAAGGGAGACGTGAAGTACAATCTTAAATGAGGTTATTCTAGCATGCTTTGCTGCTGGAGAAAACCACATTCTTGACTATGGTCTGTTAACTATGTAAAGCATCAGCAACTGTACAACGTAATAAACATCTAGAACAAATATTAATCTGTCAGACTTAGGAGAGATGTTATCAATTGCATTGATTACACCGTCATGTAGTCATGCAGCCTGAGCAAACAGCAGCCTCATTTAAGAAGCCCTGTATTTGTCACTTAATCTAACTGCAGGGCTTATCATAGTCTCCAATAACAAGTAGAGTTTTTCAATATATCAAAGCACAGCCCATTCAAAACATACCTTCAGTGGAGAAATATGGAAGTGCTCAAAGAAACTAAGAGGAGATATGTCAGTCATGGATGACTCCAGCAACTGCACGTTAAGAGCATCAATGTCCTTTTGTATCAGCTTCATCTGTTAAAACAGAAATGATTGATATAAGATCTCATTGCAAAGACAATTATGCATCAAACTGCAATATGTACTCAAATTCTGCCATTTAACACCATACTGTTCTATAGGTCTTTCAACATGCTCACTTTAAAAGATTATTCAGATGAAAATTTAACTTCCGTAGACGTTTCTTCAAGAGGTTAAATTTTGTGCAATAATTTGAGAGAAACAGGAAATCAAGATAGAAAGATGAGCAGAAAATATGTAGGTCTGAAGCAAAAATAATAATAATAATTTGAGATTGCCAGTGTAGCCATGGGGTGCAGGCATAGTGGTCATGGCATGCCAAGGCAAACCTTTAATGATGCTTTCATGGGTCAGCACTTGAGAGATTACATGTCACATATGGAAAGCTTAAGGATACTAACCTTATGACAGACTTGTAGCTTATAACGTATATGCTTTGCACACTGAAGACGGTTTTCATAAATTGCCAAAGTATTACATAGAGGGCTTTAGACAGAATGTTGGTTCATTCCAATCAATAATTATATGCTGGCAAGTCAATTTCTTGTGACTACATACTATAAATATAGTACAGTGGTGCCCCGCATAGCGAGGTTAATCCATTCCGGATTAACCCTCGCTATGCGAAATCGTCGCTAAACGGGTAGCGGAAATGTATTGAAACGCATTAAACTTAGTTTAATGCGTTCCAATACCTTTCTTACTTATCCGTTCAGCGAGGATTACAATTGCCGGCAGCCATTTCCGGGCTTCCAGCGGCCATTTTAGAACCACCGATCAGCTGTTCGGCGGCTCCAAAATGGCCACCGCAATACCCGATCTTCGCAATGCGGGTTTTCCCCATTGCGACGATCGGGTATGTTTCCGTATAGCGATCCCGAAAAAGGGATCGCTATACGGAAACATCGCTATACGGTGCACTCGTTAAGCGAGGCACCACTGTATATACTATATTTACAATACCTTGTCACTATAGTATATTTCAAAAACAAGACTGTAAAATGAACCCAAAGCTGTCTTAAGCCTTTGAATTACCCTTTGCTGGTCAGCTTCTGGATCTGTGGATGGAGTGAAGAGTTCAGTAAGTGCTGCTAAGAAGCCTTGATCTATCTTCAAAGCCATTTCCTGGATGAGAACCATGAAATACCTATACAAAAGAAAAGAAACTGGTGACTGACAGGTTAATATTTTTAACACTGCAGTGATGCCCACCAAGCAAAGTAACTTTAAAAGGGGGCACATTCATGGAGGCCAAGGCTACCAATTTAAGCACTCCGGTTTTCATCAGAAACCATGAACAAAATGGAAACGTGCCCACTTCTGTGGAACATGCTCCCTGCTCTGTGATACTTAAAGAGCATTTCAAGCTTTAGTTCAACAGTCAGATGCACATGGCTTATGCTTCAAAAACTTAATATACTTACTTGAATTGTAATACTTTACTATATTCATTAAATCTAATGATGACACTAACATCAATGAATGGCTTTGGTTCTAAGGAGAAAAAAGAAAGAGGAAACTAATGTTTATTTAGTAGGGGCACTGCTTACCCACTAGCTATACGGGTAGACACTGTATCATTTGATTACCTGAATCCAATGCAATTGATTTGGGAGGAGCTACAGGATGAAACACAACAGGAAACATTGAACCGGGCAACTGGTTATCAACCTTCAAGGGAATTTTTAAAAAAAACAATACATGAGAAACAAGAACAGTAACCTTAGGCATTAACATTTTAGAAGTAACTTTTAAACTCTTTTACCTTAACTACATAAAATAAAGCCAGATCAACAAAAGTAGTGTTAAATGGTTAGAAACAAAACTAGATACAATGTAGCAGATTAGCAGTTAAATCCTAACACAATAAAGGAAAGTTGTGTGCTTCCTCCCCCACCCCCAAGAAGTCCTCAATCATACTGCAAACTGCAAATCTTTCCAGGAACATCTGTCAAATACCTAAAAACCAACCATGGGCTAATATAACATCAAGATATCCATACAGCCCATCACAATGAGGATCGCTCCTTTGCCCACAAGAGGGGCTGACACCCCTCATATCACAAATGTCTTGAAAAGACATTTCTTAAAATTGTACCTGAAGCCAGTATAGCTGAGCTCTCAAACTTTGCTGGTGGCGTGACTGCTTGAATTCAACCTGAATGCCTGATAAAAAGTCTCGCTTGATGTTGCACTTCATCGGGAGACGCATTTCCATGGGCATCTTGTTAAAATTTACCTGTAAATTTAAGTATATGTTTAGTCTGGGTTTTTCCCCCCTCTTTCATTTCTGTGGGTGTAATTTGTCCCCTAGTTTTGTGGTTCCAGCATACCTCAAAATTGTTCTCTATTTTAACCCAACCGGAAGCCTCTGTTGCTCCTGCAGAAAGATGCTTCTGATAAGCTGATTCCAAGAGACCGATCTGTTTCTGGTTAAATGGCTTCCATCTCTGCTTTGGTTTTAACTCCCAGACAATACCTGAACTGGGGAGGGGGGAATAAACTGGTGATAAAGTTAAACATTCAGGACCGTCCATTACACCTGTGTTTTCACTAAAGGCTCAGCAACTAACTGCACAGCACTTCTTCACTTCTTAAGTAACTATGCTTTAAAAGTACAGGATGCAATCACATTATGGAGGTTAACACACGGGAGGAAAATACATCAGAAACAAACAGAAATCTGGTATCATAATATTGACAAGCTAAATAGTATTTGTGGATATAACATTGTTTTGGAGAAATATAAATTATTTCTGCTTTGATGCTTATTTGATTATTACTTAACTTTAATAAGACTGAATAAATATACAGTCCTCCAGTATTTTGTCACAATACCTTGTGATCCCTATGTAAGAGACTTCATGTTTGTTTTCATTGTTGACCAGCGAAAGCCCAAGGCTGTGAAGAGAAACATTTATTTCTTGATCAGGTTGTTCCATCTCCTCCGCTTGCCGAGCTTTGGAAACCAACGCCACATCATCTGTGAAAAGGAGCACCCTCTGGCGCCCATCCAGGAAAGAAACCCAGTGTATCTGTATGTTGGGGTTGTAAGGAAACTGGCCACATTCATCCTAGGTGAACAGAGAGGAAAGAAAGTGGCTGAGCAAACACAGAATAAATCTACTTTAACAACAGCGAAGGATGCCATTATTAAAAGACAGCTATCAAACTTTTGAAGGGGAAATTAAATTGTATCAGCTTATTCTAGCCAAAGCAAGCAGAGAGATACAGTACAGCATAATCTATGCTATGTTACACATAAACTATGGGACGTATTCCTTTTAAAATCCAGCACTGCCTATGTGAATAAGCTGGCAATAAGATTTGAAAGATAAAGAATTAAACCTTATTTTGACTGCATATGCTGAAGACATGGATTTTTTTAAATAATGCCTTATTATTTTGAAAGATACCAGCACTGCATACCAGGGAAAGAAATTTACAAATTAAACAAAGAGTTTTGACAATTACAGAAGAAATTCTACCTGGAATTCACAAGACTTCAGAAAGAAAGACCACTGTCTTTGTCAAAGGCCAACACGCCCAATACCTTAAGAAGATCATGTTCTCCAGTATTTTGTGCGTAGGTCCAGGTGAGTTTTCTCACTCCAGTTGGATCTGCCCATGCAAACAGCCTCACTTCCCGCGGCTTTAGTTCCATCTCTTCCTCTGAGCCACTACACGGATAAAAACGCAAGCTTAACAGGGTGGCTCAGAAAAAAAATGCTACTTAGAATAAAAATATGAATCTGAGTACTGCCCCCAAATTGTCTCTCTCAAGAGGTCGATGTTGACTGCTCTGCCTACCTCTGCTTGTATTTAAGAGTAATCCATGGAGTATGGTTGATGATCAAAGCTGGAGCGGCTCCCTCGTGATAATCTGAGAAAGTAATCATGGTGGACTGCTCAGAAATGTTCACGTCCACAAGGATGCCAGAGTTCTGTTGGAAAAAAGGGCAAACAGTACTTAAAAACTATACCTTGGTGTCCAGAGCAGCTAACACAAGTGTCACTGCATCTTTAAAACATTAATATCTTTAGGAAGCAAATCACAATGGCAGCAGACCAACAACTATCTATCAGCCATAACTGTGGTTGGCAACAGACCAGAAGGCATGGCTGCTGGTTGACAGACAAGTTCTGTAAGTAGGGTGAATGTCACAAATGAGGCAACAAATGTAATCATTTTCTTTATTTAAACAAAAACCCCTCAGCTCAGAGAGTGACAGCACACTGGAAGTGACCTCATACTGAGTCAGACTCTTGGCCCATTTAGGTCAATTGCCACCAACTCTAATTGCAAGTCACTGCTTTCCACGTTTCTTTCACCTAGTTGGGAGATAGTTGGTGTTCCCTGCCGAAGCACTCATTTGGCCCAATCCTGCTTGGTTTCTAAACTGAGACTGGGCATGTTCAGCCTTGTGGGATGCTCAGGGCAGTGAGATGGTACAGAACAGGAACTGGTTTCGGCTCAAGTCCAAAAGCTGCAAAACGTTTATGGTTTGACAATTTCAAGAACCAGGATAAGCCGGGTTTTTATGGGCCTACCAGGCTGATTTCAGATTCTGGTGCTTTTTAAAAGCTGACCTTATCCCAAATCTGGAGTACGTTAACGAGAAGAATGTACACAATTCAAATCTCACCAGTTCCTCCAGGCTCAACAAAGTCCCGTTGTCCTGTCGGTTGAAGAAGAACGGTTTGGAGACACGGTCACAGCCTACCACCTTGAGGCAGAGTTTGCCCGACAAATTCTCAGGCCAAAATGGAAGGCACTAATGCAAAAGTAAGAGAGTTGCAAACTTAAGTTGGCTGGCAAAACAGATCTGAAGGAAAAATACCAGTCACTAATTTTGGAAGTCTCCTCCTTTCCCAAAGCATCAGGTATCTGTGCTGTTTTCATCATACTTTACTGACTTGTCCAAATGGTAATAGAGCATTATGGGTACAGTGCTGCTTTACAAGTATCAGGAATGGTGCAATTTTACATAAACTAAAATCAGAAAGTGGTTCCTAATTCTTTAGCTAAAAAAGATATCTTGGTCAGATAGCGTCTCCCGCTTATGGACCTGCTACCACTTTCTTATAGTCGCAGCACGAATCTTCTGAGACCGGAGGCATTAGTATATGGATCAACTGGTCACACTGACTTCAGAAAACTTCACGTGGAAGGCAGATCAGTTCCAAGGACAACTCCAACTTTAAAACCTACCTCCAAAGATGAAAAGTAACTCCACTTGTTAGTAGGGAGCGAGCCATCGGCTCCCACTTCTCCCACTTCGAGCTCCAAGGAAGATCTGTTCGCTATGGTGTAGAAGGGCATTAAAGTAACTATCCGGGTGAGATTGAAGCTGCTCATTTTAATACTAACGCCAACCTGCAGAAGGATCAGATTAAAATGGGTGATGCAAAAGGCTTTCTCACCATGATCCTGTAAACATTCAATGGATTGAAGGTAATCTTTCTGCTGACACCGACTGTTCCAAGCCCTACTCCACTGTGCAGGCCTGAGCTCAGTTATGTCTGAAAAGAGCTTAACTGTAGCGCAGGTTTCGCCAAAGCTCCAGATATTTTGGGCAGTTGGGCTCAGGGCAGCTGGACTCTGAAACATCACTTATTGCTGGCGGAAGGCACTTATACGCCATGCGCAGATGTGCATTCCTTTTCTCCCTCTCCACATACATACACCACTCCTGCTAACCATGCCGAACCATGTCTGAGGCTGAAAGGAAGAACAGGGATCAGGGGATGCAACAGGCTGGCCCACTCCCCCAAGGGTGCCCCTCCCCTTCGTCCCTTGATGTTAGTGGCTGGAGTGGAAAATTCTACACAGAAAATTCAAGCGAGTTTACTGTCTTCACAGGGTACCCAGTTGCTCAGGCGGCTCTACTGGCATGGAAATGCAAACAGGAGCGTCACTTGGGCCTCCCTGCTTTGCACAGGGAGATCAAGGACCTAAAGCACGGGCCCAGCCTGCATAAGGACACCAGGGATGAGGCCAACATACAAGGCGCCATCTGTGTTTCCTAACATTTAGCCCAAATGCATTCTTTGAAATGCCTGAAAACAGAGCGAGAAACTGAAAACACCACCATCAGTATGAAAGGGGTGGGTAGGCCCAACCTTCTACACATAGCACTGCAATGGACGTCCACCAGAGTGGGAACAGACATCTCTGGGCTGACCTCTGATGTGCACAGAAAAATGGGGGCAGGAGCCACCCTAACTCCTCCCAAGAGTGCAGGATCATCCTCTGACTTCCCCCGCCTCCTTACACCAAAGATTATGAGAGGTCCATTCCAGAAAAAGAAAGAAGAGCAGAAGTAAATAATTATGCAGATATTAATGTGGCATCCACAGCACCAACCAAGATAAACATGGGGCAAAACACAGACGTTACCAGAAAATCCATGAAACTGGCAGGGCACTTCACACATCCATAACTTCCCACTGTATCCAGAGAGAAGCTATTAGACCACGTGCTGGTTGAGACGCTTAACTGAATCTATATCCAGGGTGGAAGAGGGAAAGGAGAGAAAGAAAAGCATACAAAAAAAACAGATTATGGCATTCAGGATAAGAAGGAGAGGACCTCGTCCCCTTTCCAAACAGTTATTGTTTCACATCATCATCATCCTCTCCTAACAAAAGCAATCTGTATGCAAATTTCTCAGATTGTTTTGTAGCCATTAAGAACAATACACTTTCCAAACTGAAAAGATAATCCGTCAAGGAAAATTGTAAACTTTATGCAGCTTACTTCTTTAGGTTAGTCAATGTTAAATGAGTATATTACCTTATTTTTACTGAAAATGTTCTTTTTCTTGAAGGAGAATAAGATAATATCCCTGTACTCTGCTGGGTGCTTTACATGGACATCTTCAGCACGGTACTGGAGAACACGTGACGTTTTATTGATGATCCAGTAAGGACTGTACACAGACAAAACCATGCGGCCACCCACTCTCCTCACGTGAATGTAGAGGTCCACGGTTGTCACGTCAGCAGAATCTGATGCGAAGCGCACCGGAAAGAACTCGGGCAGCGTATCACTGACGCGGAAGTGTCCGTTCCAGTCTTTGCCCTGATACTTCATCAGGACTAGCTCCATGATTTCGCCACCAATTCTTGCCTGAAGAACATCAGCAGTGCTCCCTTCTGGCAGCTCATGGGTCTCGGCTGTTCTCTAGAAACAGCAAGAGAAACATTATAAAGAAAGCAATTTGGAAAAACTTTCAAGCTACCCTTGTAGAAAGGTGAACACAATCTTGTTTTACTAGAGCAGAAATAAGTCATCTGACTATTGACAGGAACATGCAAAACAGATTATTTAGCTGTATATTTCTGATTATTATGTTTACTATTTTATGAGCTTTTATTTTATGCAATGTTTATTTAGTGAAAAAGAACTAAAGTACTGATTGCCTATTTAATTGCAGGTAAAGATTCATAAAAGTAGAGCAAAGGTTACAAAACTGGAAATCAATCCACACAAGTCTTGATTCATTTCTGGACTACAGGAAGCCTCTTTCTCTCAGGTCTAGACAAATCCTGTCTGTTCTACATGGTGCTGGCTCTACAGCCTCTGGCATCGCTTTAGGGCTTGGAACCGCTCCTCTTGTGGTACTAGAACTCCCAGAATTCCTCATTTCAACATGGTTCCTAAACTAGCTGGAGGATTCTGGGTGCTGTAGTCCCATAAAAGTAACATTTCCAAACTTTGATGAGGTCTCCCCTACCCTGACCCTGCAATTTCCCGCCTCCTGTGCATGTCCTGACTGGAGAGCTTCATCTTCCGATACATTTGAGTCACGTTGGGGGCTTATACCTCAAGAAGGTATCGTAAGGAATACGGCAGAAGGTTCCGCAGAGTGAGGGTCGGATAAAGATGAATGATGTAGGCGGGGTCCCAGTTCTCCCCGTGTGTTGCAATGAAGCTCAGCTCATCCGGCACAGCCGTGGTGTTTATGATGAGAGGCAGAAAGCTGACTTCAGCCGATGGGCACTGGAGGGTACACTTGACTTCACTGCTCCTATGCAACTCTTCTCTCCAGGATATATAGGTCGTAGAAGGTTCATACCGGCCTTTTAAGATCCCAGTGGGCTGAAGAAAGAGCTGACACCTATGACCAAACACAGAGTTGGGAAAAGAAGAAAAAGCTCATCTCGTCCTCCTCAAACTTTGACGGTTTTGTGAAAATAGAGCCACTTAAGAATCTAAAGCGGTGAAACTGTCCTTACCTATAGGAATCTATCGGAACATGAAACTCCTCTTCAGGCTTAGAGACACCTATGGGCTCCAAGAGCTTCACACCCCTAACAAACTTGTAAACTATAAATGGAACAGAGAAGTGGTTCTTAATCTGAAATTTAAAAGACAGCACAATGTAATTTACTCCTCGGCCAGCATCACCAACCAGTTATAGCCCTAGCCTTAGTCAGGCTTGCACGACATGACGCAGAGAACGCTCCTTTCGCCGAGATTAAGTTCGCAAGTAAGAGGAGGAGGCCATGCCTCTCAAACTAAGAACTGGGCGATGATTACCCAAAGCAGAGAGCTTCAGGCCCATATTTATGGGCAGCACAGATTTACCAAAGATGAGGCAGATAATCTCATTCTGAAAAAGGAGGATAGCTGGGCCCAGCAAAATACACTTGGAGAGCCAACTATCTCCCTTATTGCTCTATCCTTCCCCCAGCATTCCCTTGGCCCCAACTCACTGAACAGGGAAGGAAGCCGTAACTTTATCTTCTCTCCTCCAAAGCAGCATCTTTCCACCCCCATATCCAGTCTTTTGCCCAATCTCGACTATCCTTTCTTTTCAAGATTAGCCTTTGCCATGGCTTAGGTGTGCCACTTCCCGCTGGCTAAAGGTCTTTGGATGGCTCCCATTCCCTTCTTTACCCCCCTTGTTGTCCGTGTTGCCTAGGAGCTGCCTTCTAGAAAACCAACATGGCGCTTGCTCCTTCTTTTCTTCCTACTCCTTCTCTTTATCTGTAGTTCCCTTCCCCCCCCCCCTTTTAGGGTCTCTTTTTCTGCATTGCGAGGAGAGGAAGCACAATGCAAACTAATCACATACGACACATTTCAAGTGTTCTGTCATGTGAATGATGCTTCCCCCCCCCCCACAAATTCACGTAGACCTTCACCCGAGGCCACAAGGAGCAGGGGGTTTCCCAGTGAGTACAATGAGCATTTTGTTCTTAGGATGTGCCATCTCCCAAATGGGTACTTTGTCCAATGGGCTTTCCCCAGAATTGATGCAGCTGAAGGGAGGTGTAGCTTAGCAGCACTTTCACTGTGAACGTAGGGTACATGCAAGCTAACGAGCACAAGGGATTTTAGAAGGCCATCCTCTTGTTTTAACACGTGGCCCTGTATTTTCTTTTTTAATTTGTATTTTCTTTTTTAATTAACTATCTCACCTGTTGCTTATTATTTTATTTTAACGTATTTTAATGACTTATAGTTGATAAATAAACACCTCCTATTGTATTGTAACACGTGGCCCTGTGACCGCTTACCTGCAGAGGAGAGCGTATGGTGATAACTTTATTTCCCTCTTTAGCATTGATCTGCACCACCACAGAGTCTGCGTGATCATGCTGAGGAGCTCTGACATTGTACAGTCGCCTGCCTGGTTTTGCAATGGGAACATCCGCCACCTCTGTGTACCCGCGAGGCCCTGTTGAGCAACAACAGAGGAACTTAAGGGAAGAAACTCTGCTCCCCATGAAATGATTTTAATTTGCACGGCCAGGTCTTGGTTTCCAAAGGCAACAAGCGACATGGACTCATTTGCTTAAGAACTGTCATGTACCAACCTACACTTCCTGGAACTGCATCACTGCAAACGCAACAAAAAAATCAGAAAGAGCTCAATCCAGAATTGATTTTCTCCCTCGTGTGTGAATTTGCTACAAATTTGCTAAAACTCTGCCTTCATTTTGTAACAGCGTTAGCTTTCATCTAAAAGGGAACAGTAAGTTCAAAGTTTTGCCAACAGCATAGTATTTTGGTAGCTAATACAAATAAGAATTGGGCCTTCTTGCTCCTTTCTTTCCCATTGTAGACCTCTGTGAACCCCTCCTGTGAAAAAAAAAAGCACACCTTTCCCCAGAGAATGACCCAGCCTTCAGATTAAGCTCTTAAAAGTTTCAACAAGGCCTTCAAATGAAAACGGGTATATCTGATGCTAGTGAAGCATCAAGACCAGGTAGAAAAACACTAATGGACAGCAATCAAAATATCCAAATGGAAATGGAAAATAATATTATTGCTATTGCTAATCCAATAGCTATTAGCTACTATTGCTATTCTTGAAGGAACCAAGAAAGAAACTGTAGTTTGCAGCACGGGCGTGTCCAGAAGCGCAACGAGTGCAAGAGAATACGCATGTCCTGAGTAATGTATCCCCTATCACAGGGCACGGCTTGCTTTGCTACTTCAAAACATTCTTAGCAAGTGGCGCAGAAACCCTTTTGTTGCTCTCTCTTACCAAAACTCAAAGAGAACAGGGAACTCTCTTGGCGATAAAGGGCAGACAACTTTCCCCTCCGCTGGGGCTCTGATGCAGAGTATTCCAATTCCAAAGTCTCACCAACTCCCAGGTCATGAATATCTTCTCTTCTAGCTAAGCCGACAGCCTGCAGGCTTTGACACCTGTGAACCTCGAGCGGGATGCCCAAGGCATTTTTCACACTAAAAGGAGCCCTGTCTTTTAAAGTGTAGTCGTAAGTGGAGGCAGCTCCTTCCGAGAACCCCTATGACAAAGTAAACAAATAGCAAAATATCTGAATTGGAAGGAGAAAATAAATATTCTTGGATTATTACTTAACTTTAATAAGGCTGTCAACAAATTGAAGTTTCCTTAACTTAAAGCTTTCTGCCTCTTTGGCCTTCTGGAAAATTCTAAACCAAAGAGGCAATTACATCTTGTCAAATACAACCTAGCTTATACTGTAGGAACGAATTACTCACTGCTACAGAAAACACACAGACCTTTCACGAAGTTGAGAAATATAAAGCATTTCCAGTAGTTGTCAATATAGCAATATTGCTTCACACACTCCCTTAAGAAATACAAGTTTGTATTTCCCCCTTAAAGGCCCTGCGGCCATTCTATTGGTCTGAATACTCTGACTTTCCATTATCAGCAAACTCTACCAGACCAAAATGAAGCATGCCAAGCCACTACATCGGCACCATTAACCACACAAACTAAAACAAAACATTTAAGGGCCCCTGGATCAGTGGATACCAACCCTTAGAAGCATGCTAAATGTGAAGGAAAGTTGCTCCCTTCCAAGTCCAGATGGGTCTTTTTACAAGGTGGGAATAAAAATTAAAGCAAGAAAAAGAAGAATTATGCCACCCCACTCCTGCCCCAACCCCCAAAGAATAGAAATATGGGACCATCTGGTACTTGGGATAAATAGGATGACCACTGGAACAAACCCATTGCAAACAACCTGTCATAACAACAGATGTTAAATTACCTTAGCTAGATTGTCGAAGACAGCAAGACAGGCCTTTGATATTGTTATATTCATGGTATCCCTTGAAGAGATACTAATGACACTCTGTGGTTCAGGTAAAACTATGAAATCATCTCCAGGCAACAAAGCTTTATCTTGCACAGGGTTAGTTTTTACCTAAAAGGGAACAGCAACCAGTTAAACAACTACCCTCTGTGAAGAAACCATTTCAAATTACGCTATTGCTTAGGTTTGCATTCTCGTGGGGAACTTGGGGTGGCAACTGTGTTGGCTGACTACAATTCCCATCAACCGCCGGCAGCACAGGATCATCGGAGATGATCCAAGCTTGACATCAAGGTCTTAACTACTTTGAATTTTATCTTTGAAGATGATCACTAACTTTGCAGAAATCTTATATCCTGGAATAAAAAAATGCATCACAAGCTTAAGATTACAAGGTTACATGTTTATTTTTGTTTAATATAGGAATTTTAAAAATATATATTCTATATGATATTGTGTGCATTACTGCTCCTTGTGCTGCAATTTGACCTCAAAGCCCGTTAGTCCAGACAGCAAGTTATGAACTTGGGTGGCAAAAGGAAGAAAATATGTATCATTGCAAAATTCCAGGACAGGCAGTTACAAAACAGCATTTGGAAGTTACTAATTCATGCAGGTTTTTTGTAAAATAAATATTTGGCTTACTTCCAGCTTTAGTTCCCATTGACGCTTTTCCCTTTCAACTCGTTCCACAAGGGGTTCCCAAACAGCACATATTTCATTATAATAATGAACCTGGAATACAATATAAGGAATAGAGCTTACACCCTTAAACATTAGCTCAAATTTGATCCACTACACAAAAACCCAAGTATCATGACAGTGTAGAAACGAAATTCCACACAGGACAAAGGACTGTACCCAAGAACTATTTTGAACAGGGTTTCAAATGATTACTAGACCTTGCCACAAAGGCCTCCATCAGACTAAACAGCAATCATCCCCCCCCCTATTTACATACCTCCAGTGTCATGTCCCCTCTGGCAGCCATGAGAGAAGACCAGTTCTCCACTGTTCCCGAAAAAGAGGATTCTGCTAATAGTAAGGGAACTGTACGATGCCCCAGACCACACTCCAGGGTGATCTGAACCGACCTCACTTTAACATGGAAACTTTCTTTCTTCTCCTGCGTCTCACTGTCTAGCCATGTTTCGGTGGCTTCTGTGGCCATTTCAACGCCAAGAAACCAATACTGGCACTGGTCAACACTCTTGACACTCCACAGGTTCTCAGGATTGCAAGCCGTCCCTGCAGAGTCTTCCTCTTTTGGCTTGGACTTCATGGCCGCCATGATGGTCATTACAGTATTGAGAATGATTGGGGAGACCTTTAAAAAAGAAAGCAGAGCCAAGCCGGAATATACCACACATGTGCACATCAAAAGACAGATCAAGCAGCTATATGACAATCGCTAGTAATGACCCATAAAAAAATAACCAATTAAAAAAAATTATTGGTTCAGATGAACTGAAGTAGAGTGGATGGCGTTGAAAAGGAAAGGTTGCACTGCTACCCGCAGGGGCAGTTCCTTCTGTGAGTCAAAGTGGCTGCCTCGACCATTTTGCAGTACATCACACTGTTTTATACCAGCCACTACCAATCTCCCCTCCTCTTTATGTCACTATTATTTTATTTACTAGCACGTTTCTTTCTTGCTCACCATCAAAAGAGAGGGCACGGACATGTTGCTAAAACTGATTTAATATCCCTAAAAACTAATCCATGTACAGGATGCTACAACTGACTGCAGGTTGGTTGGGTTTTAGAAATCTAACAATAAATGAAGACTAAAGGGTATCATTACCAACCTTCACGACGAATTGATCTACCACCGCATCCACAGCCTGCATTCCTGAAGTGTGCATCATAGCTTCCATCGTTAAAGAACAAGGCTGGACAACCTGAGAGAAGATAAGCAAAATCCTGTTAAAAATGGCCAGAAGCTCAACAAAAGGAGAGGGAACTCAATTCTCCTCCTTGAACATGTTTTTAAAAAAACTTGATGCTTTTCTAAAGTATCCTGTTCTGAAACAATGAAAGGTAAGTAAAGAAGGAAGCCAGTAACTAGATCGTTTCCTTTCCTCGCTGCTGAAGCAATGGGAATGTCAGACTCAAGGGACAATCCACTGGCAATGCCTGCTGAACAGGAAACAATTAAAAGGCAGACGCCGCAAGCTTCTCGTTAAACTACAGGAGACTTCTGCCTGAATGAGACCAAGCGGCTTTGCAAATATATCTTAGCCTCTTAATTGCTTCCTGTTCTTCATGCACTGCAAATGGATTGCCCCCTGAGCAGTCCATTCCCAGTTCCGTGAGCACGTGCGCTTACGCATAAGACACAGGTGGAAATTACAGCCAAGAGCTTACGGTTGTCACGTTCTTCTCTACTTTGCTGTGCAGGAAAGGGCACGCCAGCACCTTCAGGTCGAGCACTTGAGCCGTCATCCGCTGAGCAAGAGGCCCGCTCGACAACGTGAAATCACACTGGAAGGAAGCTGCCAAGGCAGGGGCATCAGCCTTGGTTAGGTTCGCCACAAAGACGATCTCTGGATCCAGGATCCGTGCTATCATGGACATGTTAGGCTTCACGGCTCCATCTGCAAAAGTGTCAAGTTCAGTGTGTTTTTGATTGAACTGTCAACCAGCACAACACAATACAAATATATACCATTTTGGATAACTGGAAAAAAAATTCAACCACACTGCACTCCAGAAAAACTGGCCCTAGTTACAGCTGTAGTACAGGGAGCATCACAATGTTTCCTATTATTGAGTGCTTCTAAATTGTAATCTCCTCACACAACACTTTTGAGCTGAAAGGTCTTCTCCCACCAGATCTGATCCTGGCAGATGCGAGGCTTCGGCCTGAGCTTCCCAGGGCGCTGTCCGAGGTACCAGCTGCACCCTCAGCACCTCCTTGCTTGGACTTGCCTCACTTTGAGTCCTGGCTTGGCTTGGCCTTCCCTTCCCTTGCCTGACTCTGCTGCTTTCACCTGCAGAATGTTGGACTTTGCCCTGGGTTTCCTTGCCTGCCTTTGCTGGGCTGCACACCCTGAATTCTTGACATGAACTCCTTAGCCCAGAACCCTCACGTGTTGGGGCCTCCCCTTGGAACACCCAACACAATCAAGATGAATATTCCACCTGTTGCCTTCATCGCACTGCTCTTAAAAGCTAATTAAGATGAGTGTTAGCAAAATACAACTTTTAAAGTCTAATTGTACAGTACTGAGAAGAGAAAGTGTGTGCCTGCACACACACTGTCAGTATAAAAATACAAAACTTTGAGACCATTTTCAACGTCCTCAGAAGGAAGAGTAAACACTGAAACCTAGATCTAGAAGAGAAGTACCCAAAAGACTCCTTCAGGACACCTTTTATTCAAACGAAGAGCCCATGCTATTTCACAAAATGGGCTTGAAATCATATTTACAGCTTGATTTACAGACCATTTAATTTTCTCGAGACATTACTAGACAGCACCAATATTCCAGATTACATTTAGCTGATTTCATGCACACACACCTGCCATATCCAAGTAAGAACTATCTTGCTCTTAGGTGCATTATTTCATTCATGGAATTTTTACCACAATCAAGCCAGAGATGTTTTTGCTTTGCTCACCTTTTTCAGGCTTTGGCTTCCCATGCGTAGTGTGCTTTAACTGAAACTGGGCAGATTTTTCCGGCGAGGTTGCTGGCACAGACTTAACAAAGAAATCTGCTACGGTCAAAAGAAACTCCACACTGGCACACAAGTACAATTTATCCAAGACAGATACAATTTCGCTCCCATTTTTATCTTGCTTGTAGTTTATGTCAATCATGACACTGTCAGCCTCACCATCCTTTTTATCTATCATCCTGCACAGGGAAAGAACAATCACATTTCATTATAAATATTTTGGTTTAATTCAGTTTAATTGTCATTGAACTACGCTGATGAACAGAATAGTTGTAAGATTTCCTAACAATTTGCTTTTTTATTTCTATATTTAACTTTTTAAATTACAAACAGAGCCGGTGTTATTTGCAAGTAAGTGTTTTACAAAAACTCTGTTATTTTAAAAAAGTTAACCTTTTAACTCTTGCACAAACAAAGCACGATCGCTAAGAAATGAAGACAAAGATGACCTGACACTGATATTTGACACTCATTCCTGATTCTCAATAGTTCAGCTTTTGGTGTTTTCTGTGCAGAAGACAACTAAGAAGAGAACTGGCCGTTAACCAACCCAGCCACTGGCCAACAGAACAATGGAGGCAAGGAACCTGCTTCTTCAAACACACCCAGAAAAATCTCTGGCCATTCCACTCTTGTCCTTGTAAACCAGTTTTTCTTCTCTATCTCTACCACACGCTTCCCTTCTTTTCTCCGTTGGAACCGTTCAATTTTAAAATCTGAGGGCAAGGTCTGTGTTTTATTTCTTGAACAGCACCTTATTATTGATCACACCAAAGTTTGTACCACTCATTTGTAGCACAAATTAGCTAGATACACATATATGTTTTATCCAACTTTTCTCCCACTCAGGAGATGGAATGATTAACAAACCAGACACCATTCCAATCGCAGTTATCATCTTAAGATACAGCACTGCACTATTTGCAAGTGATTTTTTTAAAAAAACAACAGTAGAGTAAGATAGTTCACCTTGAGGTTGCCCTTTCAATCCCCTCTCTCAGATCATCCAGCGTACATGTTTTCAAGTTGGTATTAATTTCCATACAGCCATTTGAAAACATCTGTCCTGATGCTATCATACGATGCAGCCTAAGCTCTCCAAGGCGTAAACTGTTATTGTGAATTGAAAGCTGAGATTTCTAAAACACAAAAATAGCCAAGAAAAACAAATTGCAAACAGTACTTGAAAACTTGAAAATGCACTGACCTTGGTTTTGTCTATCTAGCTGAACACAGAAACGGCACAGAAGGACACTAACTGCATTTCAAAAGTTTGCTACAGAACATTATTTATACACACAGAAAAACCTAGTGAGATTTAAAATTGTCATCATCATCTTCATAACCTTAGATGCTAGTCATATGGCTAAACCACAGCAATGCAACGCATTCCAGACTCAGGCAGGTTCACTGGAACCTTGGCTACTGCACAGACCTTTCTCAGGCCATGGCTCAAGGCTCCTCCGAGCTCTGTGTTCTGGGAGAAAGAAGCAGGAAGAGGATCCTGGGTGGTGGAAAAGTAAACACAGCAGAGACACCGGACAGAACAGACTGAAGTAGGAGTGATGACAAATGCAGAGAACAGACAAGAACAGTGGATTAAAAAGGTGAAAGAATGAGGAAGAGGTGAACGGTCAGTGAAGACAAAGAAAGGAAATGGCACAAAAACTCAAAGAACGAAGAGGAACCCAAAAAATAGGGAAAAGCAAAAAAAAAAAAAAAAGGAAGAAGGGAAATAACAACAGAATAACAGAAGCAAGAAACACTGAATTGTAAGACTGCAAAATTGTTATCCAAGCCACACAGTATTTTATTGAAGGCCTTTTTTCATTCATTCATTCATTTACCCCACCTTTCTCCTTAAAAGGACCCAGGTCCTTTGTGTTTCCAAATGTGACAATTTTATTACATTAGTATTTTCATCCAATAATGAGCGAATATAAAGAAAACTACTTCACAGATCAAAATGGCACAAACCTGATTAACATCAGCAATGTAGAGAATGATGGAAAGTGATTCAAAGTGAAAGTGAAACATAAGGGTCACACTTTTCTCAGACTCGGCTTCATAAATGTCTGTCTGCCCTACAGCAGTATCTGGAATATTCAGAAATTTTAAAAGTATATGGTAAGTCACAGCCATCTCTTATCAGAAGATCAATGCTCATTAACTGCAAGTTAATTAGATTTAATTTAGCAGTCAGTCATGTTTGTTTCCACTTTGCTTGTTCATGTTAGCTAATCCATTATAAGTGATACATCTTGCTTACAATAACGGGCAAATTAAGTGCTTTATCTTAATCACTACCATTATATCAGGAAATAAAAATACCTTCATCAACATCGGTTTCGTTTTTACTCTTTTTGAACTTCTCAGCTGGCAAAGCCGACGGTGCAACCCTGGAATCTGTCGCAGCTTCACCAAGATTTTCCAACAGAATTTTCATGAGCAGAGTTAAGTCGTCTTGACTGAGAGAGATCTGTAAAGTATTCAATCATTATTTAATTTCCGGAAGATGCAGCAAGCATTCACGTATATCAGACTGCAACTGCTACTTTTACTGCTAACTAAATAAGGGCAGCATGGGAGGTAGCAAAAACGCTGGAAGTCTCCCCAGCCACATTATCTTCCCAGTCACTTCAAAGCAGAGATGCAAGAAAGGATGGCTGTCCCTGTGATGCCTTCCATGACCTATCCAATCAAAGCCATCAGGGACAGGAGCCATTCCTGGGACTGTGCCAACAGGGGGTTTGCCAGAATCACAGAACTTGTAGCTAGTCTAGGTAGCATCTTCACAACTGGAGTATCTTAGGAGGCAACCAAGCTTGCAGGTAAGTCTAGCTGCAAAACAAACTAATTCGTGCCATGAATTAATATGGCTCTTTCACAGCAAAAGCAGCATTCAAATGATTAGCTAATGTCTCTTAAGCCTTGAGTTATGTTATGGGTTGATATCTATGTGGAACATGGTTCTACCAACATTTCGCACAACCACACCTGCATAGCCTTCAGGTCTCCTTTGACGGCAACCCCAGGGATCTGTAGGTACCAAGCTGCAGCTAAATTTCTCTGGACCGACAAGAGCAGATTTACTGGCTGCAAAATTTCAACATCTGGCTGAGAACCATTGGCTACCATAGTCCTGCAAAATGAAGATTGAAACACTGCGGTACACAAGATTGTGAACATAGGCAAAGGTCCTGCAGGGAGGCAAAAAAACCAACAACAAAACCCTGTTCATCACGCCCACATATCCTAGCTTGGTCAGTCAGGGGAACATGCTCACTCTTTAGCTACAAACCTTCTACATAAGTATATACCTGTTCTAAGAAACAAACATGCCCAAATGGGCATTCCTGCTCCTGACATAAAAACTATTATATTGAAATTTATTTTCCTCAGCCATTTTTGTGCATGTACTATATAAATCTCAGCTGAGAGCCAAGAAGGTTCTTTTATGGCTAAGATTTTTTCTAAGCAAACAAACAAAAAGGTGCAAGAGTAACACAAGCTTTCTCCAAGCAACCTTAAACAAGAGACAGCATGTTGGATCTATATTGGCATATAGTATAACTAATCTGTTTGTTTTCAACCCTGAATTTTCTAGTCATCTTTCTGAAGAAATCTATGAACTTTATCATAAGAAGTCAACCCACAGCAGTCACTGCTTCTTGCTTCAGTTTAGGATAAACCAAATGAACCAATGATTTTAATACTACAGTACTTTAATACGAAGTACTTTTACTTATCCGTTCCCCACTGGCCCCAACCCCACACCCCCAGTTACCACTGAAAGCAGTCAGGCTTTCACCCTGAACAATTTCCCATTAAACTCACTGGAGTCCTACAGCACACCAGAAAAAAAAGAAGAAATAAAAATTACTGACATTTGTATCACTGTTTTTCTGAAGATCAGGGATTAACCTCAAGGGGGAAAGCTAATACCTTGAGATCTTTAAATGAGTTAGCTGTATATCCATTTTGTCAATCACTGGAGGATTAGAGGATTCTTCTCCGGGGACCAGGCTAAATTCATTCTGAACTCTGATTAAGCCAAGATCTGCTACCAATACATTGCAAGACACGGACGACTGAGGAACTACTATAACTGGAGCCTTCAGGTCGATGTCCAGTGAAAAGCGAACACTCTTTTCAGCAAAATCCTTCATGCTGGAAGCAGCCATTTCTGCCGCCTGAGCCGTGGCAGCACTCAAGGCTTCCTTGGCAGATTGGAAGTGATTCAGGAAGTCCTAGGAAGGAAGCACAGTTGCGCGACACAACAGGTAGCACCCTAAATCGACACCAATCCAAACAGAATCAAACGATCAGCTTGAATTTATCCAAGCAACTTTCAGGCTGGAATTCAAAGCGTGACCCACGTTCAGGACCAAACAGGTGGGGGCTTGATGCTTACACTGTTCAGGGAACCTCCCCCTCTCCCTCCAGCCCTGATGCTTTTGGAAATTCATTCTATTTCAAACGCTATTTCTGCTGCGGCAAATCCTCGGTGTTTTTAAGTAACATTCTGAAATTCAAATGCAGCTCGTATGAGAAACAGAACCACTTCTTACCAGTAGTGACATGAAGAATTTGTGCAGATAAACGATCTGAATGCAACCCACTTTCAACGACATTCTACCGTCTACCTTGGACATGTCCGTATATGCTTCTCCTGCTGTCGCATCTGGGTAAAGGGACAGTGTAAACCGGAAGACTTCGTCTCCCACTATGGAGACAGCCTGAAAAAGTCATATTCATCACTGTCAGGTTCTGTTACATTTTACTCTGCTTTTTCCAGCTCCCAGATGTCTGTAAAATGAAAAGCCCCTTCCCTCAGGCCTATTATCTTAAAGGTATAGGTTTATCCCAAGCACCACAGCTGCTGTTTTTTTTTCATTCACTACCTTAAACTTGTCCATGAAGCACACATAGCCCACAGCTATGGCCCACCAACCCAACTTCAGGCATTTACCTTTTTATGAACTGTCTCGGGGTCAACATTTGTTACTATGAAGTCCCGAAGCCTGGCAAAAACTTCTGTCTGTTTTGGCATTGTAAAAATAGAGGCCTCCATACCTGAATAGGAGGAAAAGTGAAGGGGGGAAATTCAGCTTTCGTGTAGAAAGTAGTGGTTCAGCTATACTGCATTTCTTGCTTATCTGTCACATTATGGATAACATTAAAACTCAGCAACTGTAAAGGTCATGAAGACACAGTGGGAGTTTGCTGAGAGATCACCTGCATCAGCCACTCCCTGTTTGCTCCAGAAAGGCACCACACAGATATCAATACAATAAAGCAAGTCATTAGCTTGCTTACTTAAGTGTGCTGAATTCGCCATGGAAATTTAACTGATTATGTTCACCGTCAGGTAGCCTCTATTTAAGGAGCCATTCTGCTCCCACCTCTCTCAAAATGCTCCGAGCTGCTTACGCTCCTTAGTCTATCACACCCTTTTAAAATTCACACACCTTGTATACGCATATCAGCAATGTTCCTCTTCTGATCACAGACCAAAATGTTGAAGGCATTCAAGCGGGCAGTGAGCTTCAAGTCAAACACATCCCCATGGGCAGCAGCACTACATGCTGTGGAAGAGTAGCCTATAGTTATCAGTCACTTGACATAAGACATCACGCTTCTTCTAGCTGAGAATAGGAGTCCAACCTGCATGCCTCCATTTTGTCCTCCCTTAACCATCCCACGCAATGGATTCAGTACGTTTAACCTCAAATGTTGAAAATCTTACATTTCCTGACCAGAACGGTGCGGTTTAACATCAGAAAGCCAAGCAGGTCAGATCCTCGCTCCACATCCTGGCAGTGCTGAATACAGAATCCATGTAAGATCACGCAGGGTGCAACCCTTCCCCCACTTGCACACCCCAAAAACATGTTCTGGAAGGCTGCAAAAACTCTTTGGACAGCTCTCAGGATTGCAAGTGGCGAGGATCCAAAAATCCTAACATGACCACCAGCATCACACTGGATTTAGGACCCCGTTTCCCAGTCTGGATGGTAATGAAGAATCGGGCTTTAAAGATACCAGGGCCCGCCTGTGATCTGGAAAGCAGTAACCACACAGACCAGCTTATTCACCTCCGTGTGTCCCGTCCACACTAGTCCTCGTTGCTGCTTTTCCTGCACCATCCCCTCACGGCTGGTCTCAACCGTTCACTCCTTTGGAGTAGAGGAATTGCTGGCCCTGCTATTCCTTCCAGGGTTTGCAGTGTCTGCACCTTTGAACTTACCTGGCCCCCTTCCTCAAATAATTTCATTGCTAAATGCTGCGAAGGAATTGTTAAAAGTAAAAAATATATATATTACACACTAAACTACCTGATTTGGTGAGAACAGTTCTGGGTTCCTCTGAGAGCAGCTTGGCATCAGGCTCGTGTGCAGCAGCTGTCAGACCACTGGAGGCATATGTGAAAAAATTCATGATGGAAAGCAAGGCATCTGTGTGTAGTAACAGATCTAATGAAGAAAATGATACCTAGAAAAGAGATGGTGTGTTGCCATGAATCTTTTAGCTTCTCACTATTAGAAGAAATTGCCTACAATTTATCTATGTCTATGACAAATCTATGATAAATTAAACTTTGCCTCCATCTCTCAAAGCAGTAACTCAATCCAATAAAGCATTAATTTAATCAAAGTTCATGGGGGTGGGTGGGTTGCTCCAATGGAGCTAACTCAGAGACATAGTTCACTACTTACATTTAAGAACTGTTTGGTATTTTTGTAAATTGTTTGAAAGTGTGGTCCATCTGCATCAGCCTAAGCAAAGAAACAGGATTTGAATTACTACACAGCTGAAGCAACATCAGGTCACACGTGCGCTTAGGTGGAAGGTGCTCTGCGCTTAACATTTAGATCTGCCTCAAAGCTATTTGGACAAACAGAAAAAACAAGCCATCCTGCACAAGAGGAGCCCTAGAGATGGCTGAGCTCTGAACCACTGGGTTTCCAGTGCCAGAGGAAACATAAAGAGAAGCCAAAGTATTGAAATTAAGGGTGTCTGCTACCCTCAGGAAAAATCAGATCTCGTCTTTTCCTTCCCATACCCTTTTTCTCTCTCTCCCAGACACCCAGATCTTCTGTTTCAGATTACAACAAGCCAAAAGGCCTGCCAAAATACAGAAATATGTATCACCATCACGAACAGATACAGTTCCTGTAGAGATCTGAATCTTACCACTACTAGGTGATGATTTTCAACTGAGTTAATCCTATTTGATGTTTTCACGTTGATTTTTCCACGTACTGAACACAAGACACAACGGCCTTATGACCTCAAACACAGACTGACTTTTAAATTTTCCCAGTGATCTTTAAAACATACACACACACACATATAAATAACCTTTATGTATTCCATGGTTAAGAGATGCTCTCCAGATTCATCTGATGAACTAATAATACTCAGTGGATCCCTGTTGGAATCTGTGGATGAAAAACATTTTTTTTACAAAACTCTTTAACACGTTGTCATTCTTCAGAGTTGCAATGTTACTCCAGAGAACAGTTTATAAAATTTAGAAAATTCAGAACACGCCAACAAGTAAAGAAGTTTAACGAGTTTGATACTCTAGTCTGAACAAAGAAATGCAAAAATACTTGTTTCCAATATTATACAGTTACATCTCAAAGTCTTTCTTTGGAAAATGTAAGAATTAGTTGTCACAACAGCTAAAAGTTTGACCTTATTTTCACCCACAAGAGTCACAGTATTCTGTTTCTGTTAACTCTACTCCAGAGAGGCAACCGTTTCTATGGACACATAGTTGCTTGGCTTTTCTGAGTAGGGCTCGGAAAGTCCCCTGGCATAAACTCTGGAGAGCTACTGCCAGCAATAAAGTGGATGGACCAAACTGGATCAGGCCAAACATTAGTATACCTTAGCAGGTGTTACTGCAACTAGGGTGAAAGGATGACTCTGTTCTCAATGCCCAAATGAAATCACCTCACACTAGAAGTTCTACATAGCAGATACAAAAACTGGAACTACAGCTTAAAGTTGCCACAAAATGGCATCATCTAATTTGATTATTTTTCAAATGGGAAGTGAAACAGGACTTACCAGTGAATTCAAGGCACTCCATGTCAATTTTTTTAAGATACACTGTAGCAATCATATCATGTGTTTTAATTTTGCTTTCACCTCCAAGCTGTAACATTGTTAACTGATGTAATGGGAAACTTTGTTTTTCTACTTGTTTCATTAATGTTATTGCAACCTAAAAGAAAAAAAAATACAGACTATATTTTTGAAGTTGCATAATAATGCATATAAGAAGCAAAAAAAAACCCACAAAACTCTTTAACATCTTCCAATATACTGTACAGCAATCTCCACTGAATCTATCATTATGCTCTGCCTGCAAACCATATGACTTTACTACATGACAGGAAAGAGACTATGAAAAGACAGACATTTATCTACAAAAACAGAAGCCTTCTGAATTGCTCTTACTTCCACTTTAAAACAAACCAGTTTTCAGAGACATCTGAATTCAGGCAAAGTTTAGTTTGAGATATTGAGTGGTTTGAGAACAAGCGGAGATCCGAAAGGACCACTTGATCCTCATGTTTGGATCAGAATTTGTCCATGTGCTGTCAGCAGGCGAACACTGTTTTGTTTAAGAGCAAAAGCTGATTTTCACCCCACAAATGCAAAGCGGAAAAATGGAACTAAGGCTCGGATGAGCGGAGCATGCGCAGTGTAGGCAGCCCTACAATTGTTACATTTCTCTTACAGCTCGAGAATACTCCGAGAGGACCAACGCTGGCGCTTGGTTAACCCTTTTGTGTGCATTCACAGAAGACCACGATGAAGAAGCTGATTTTCACCCCACAAATGCAAAAAAGAGGACAAGGGATAAGAGACCCCAAAGTTTGTCATGGCTCATACATGCAATAGGATTTCATGTTTTATCTGAATCAAGTCCGATACATTTTACTCTTAACAGCATTGAAAGTGGCATGTTTTACACTGATAATAAAAAAATCCAAGACATTTACAGAGCACACAGATCCATTTAACCTGATGGTCCATGTAACATTTTCTAAGAGAGAGAACAAATCATTCAGTTTGCAGTGACCGACCGACGTACCTTTTTTATTTCAAAATTAAGGAGCATGTTGGTAATATCTTCTTTCAAGTCATCCCTGGATGCAGCCACTGGAGTTTCTTTTTGACCTCCTGCTGGCCCCTCTTTTGTTTTGCCTGATAATTCTAAAAGCAGACAAGATTCCTTTGGAATGAACACACATAACTTGAGTTCATTTGCAAACACACACACACAATTCTGTACCAACTGCAACAAATTATGCTTGCAATATGCACCAAGAGGAAGCCTACTCATCGTGAAAAATAATTTTCAACGTATATTCTCGCACAAGAAAAACAATTCAAAACGACAAGTTTTCTCAAAGAGGGGCATCAAGTAGCCCTTCTACTTATTTCTAGGTCTATTCAGGTTAAATTGAAAGGCTGAATAAGGATAAAGCAGCAGTTTTAGCTACTGATTTTAATCACAAAGGGAAAGAAAAAAGCAAAAGTACTTGGTTAAGTAACTTCTCTTCTGCAATATTTTTGCTGCTGCTGAAACAGATCAAAAAAGGCAAATGGTCACAGCTGAAATGAACCGTGAGGTACAGAAGACTCAAGGGCCAGCTTGGCCTCTTCTCCAAGGCCTGAGCTATTAAAGCTAACCAAGACCTAGTTTTAAAAAAGGACAAACCCATGCAGAAGTGTATTTTACTTTGAAGATTGAACAGATACCCATTTCATACCTTCGATTTGTGCCTTTGGTTTGGTGTCACTTAGATTTTTGTCCGCTTCGGCAAGGTTTTCCGTCACTACCTTAAGTAGAACACTCAAGTCCACTTGACTTAGGATAACCTAAAAATAAGAATATAAAATCAGACGTCTGCTGCCCAAAAGCTAGTGTCAGCATCTCTAAGACGGATGGTACTGGGCTACCATAACAGCCATGTAGGAGCCCCATTTTCAGGAGGGGCTCAGGATTCCATTCTGCATCCACAGTGGCATAGCTATGGGCCTCCAAATTCCCAGGTACTATACTTTTCCAATAACGCTTCAAAAGAGAAACCAGGCCAGCCTGCCCCACTCATGAGGATCAGACATCACTATCTTCTTGTTTCTATTCTAGCCAAAACAGGATAGGTCGGAACACGGGAAGCGGCCTCACATGGAGTCAGACCCTTGCTCTATCTAGTCCACTACTCTCCATTGTGGATAGGCAGCAGCTCTCCAAAGTTTCACACAGGATTCCTTCCTAGCCCCTAGGACCCCGGTATTACCTAGGGGTCCCCCACCCAAGTACGAACATATCTTTCCAAAGCTGCGTCCACGATCGATTAACCCTTCTCCGTCACAGCCCTTATGCCTAACGTTGTCCAAAGAGCTTTGCCATAATAGAAACCACTGCACAACACCATGCCTTTCAAACAAATTGGCTTACATTCATTGTATCAAGGTGCCCTTGGATTTCCAGAACAGGTATTTTGTGGTACCATGATGCAGCCAAGTTGCGATTCACAGAGAGATTGATATTAATGGGATGCAGGATTTGTACGTCGGGCTGTGAAAAACCGGGCTTCAAGATTGTCCTAAGTAAAAAATGAATACCCTGAGCCTTACGTGCAACATCTTGAACCATCACAAAACCCACTTCTGACTGTTCCGGTTCATCTGGAAGTCGGAAAGTCTATCTTACCTCGACAGCTTGAGCTGTGTCAACTGCACGTCCATTTTATCCATGACCGGGGGCAGCGGACAGTCCTTTTCCAGGACCAAACTGAATTTGTTCTGCACCCTGATCAATCCGAGGTCTATTACTATGGCATTAGAAGACACAGAAGACTGAGGGATGAGGATAACGGGGGCCTTAAGGTGAATGTCCATGGAAAGGCGGAAGCTCCTCTGAGCCAAATCTCTCATGCTTGTTGCAGCCTTCTCTGCAGCCTCCACTGTTGCAGCACTCAAGGCCTCTGTGGCCGTTTGAAAGTTGTTCAGAAAACTCTGCAGCACAATGAGAGTTGGGAGGAAAAGACCGGCGTTTCATTTCTCCGGTGGGATTTACCTGCTGAGAAAACGTGGATCCTGCTGCCTTGTATCCCCAAAAGGAACTAAATTGCATCGGCATATTTATTTAAAAGTGTTCCTAGCAAAACACAACACAATCAGAGGAGTTGCAACAGAGATTCTAGGTTCTCATCCTGAGACCTCCAGTGAATGTGCAGTTCTGGCCTTAGAAATAAAGACAGTGCAGCAACAGTAATTCTAAGAAGGGGGGGGTACCCAGAAGCATGGCAAATGGATCTTACACTCTTTCTATAGGCAACTAGTCAGGAAAAAGGGTGTTTCTAGCATTTAACTTCAATTTTTGCCAAAGAGAAAACCATAATACGTAGATTTACAAACATAAATAAATGGGGGCAGCTTTGGAATACCAAACCACTGAGCTGATATTCTGATAACAGAAATAGACAGAGAAGTAACATCAAACTTTCTCTGTCGCTCTACAATGAGACTGCATTAGACCTGTTCTAGCAAGTATGAAGGAGCTATTTTATACATCATTTTAAATGCAGGGAAACCCATGAGTTCCCCAGAAAGTTATACAAAACGGTTCCCAAGCAAGTTAGCTAGTATTGCAATTGTTTTCAAAAACACCCATACTGTCACATTTCAGTGCTCAAAAATCCAACTGAAGAATCACACTGGCTTTTATCAGCAGTAATTTGCAATTAATTAAGACAGTATTCTCATTTGTTTTCCCACCCAAGGGACCCTCCTTGGACTTCTTACCACCACAACACGATAGTATAAGCAAAAAATTATTTATTTACAGCCTTACCAGGAGTGACATGAGGAATTTATGTAGATATATGATCTGAATGCAGCCCACTTTGAGAGAGACTGTCCCATCTACTTTGGACATGTCTGCATAGGCTTCTCCCTCTGTAGCCTCTGGATACAACGTCAAGTTAAAGCTGAAGACTTCATCACCTACTATAGAAACAGCCTAAAAGGAAGAGAAGTGTGCATGTCGTTTTCTCTTTCCAAATCACCATACAAATGCCTAAGACCTTCTACACGGTTTACAATGTAGAGTCCATCTGCATTTCTAAGGATGAACGTCGGAAGCTCAGTGTGCTCTTAAATAAAAAATAGTGACTCAGTTTTGAGTTACATCATCTTATTCAATCTAGTTTAGAGGCTGGACTTTCCTTAAACGATTATCTTCCTGGATATTTTCAAAGAAGGGGCTAATTTACTTAACCCTATGAAGACACCCATCACATCCAGCCACATGGGGTTTGGGTCACATTGTCTAGATCATCTGATACAACTGAACCCACAGAGAGAAAGAAGCTTTAACAGCTTTTACTTTTTGTGTTCAATTAGCAAGAGCAGAAAAAAGCCGTTACTTTTTGCCGAAAAGTTTTTTCTCTTCTCCATTTAACAATGGAGTACAAAGAGCAGAAAATGGTTCCTCATGGCTAACAACTATGCAAAATTTTTATATCTTATGCAGTTTTAATACCTTTTTATGAATTGTTCTTGTATCAACATCTGTAACAATTATGTCTTTCAGTCGTGCAAAGAGAGTGGTTTGACAGGGCTGAAGAAACAGAGATGAATTGAGACCTAAAAAAGCAGAATTGGCAAAATTGATTTCATATTGCATATAAACACAAAAGCACCAAGCAACTAAAGGGTTGAGACTATTTTGAATGTTAAGAACATGACAAACCATTCACCAAAACAAATGACCAAAGATCGCTTCCTTCTAGCTCTGCATGTAGCTTTCAACAAATATTTGTAAAGTCAAGAGTGCTACGGGTAATGGCATATGTCCTTGAGAACACTCCTGAAGCCATTACATCTCACTGGCTATAAAGTGATGCAACGGTAGCCCTAGCAAAAGACATGACATTAACAGTCTAGGATTATCTCTGGTTTTGTTGCACAACCCAAAGTAATGGCTTGGCTCAACACACCTGTAAGATCGTCACTTTTCCTCAATTCTTCTGTATCTATTGTTCTTGGCATCTTTCTAAAATCTGATTTCTATAATGCCCCTGTCACTTAAATGTGCTGTTGTCCATGGGATTTCTAGTTGCTTCCCTCTCCAAAAAATTAAGTTTCTGTACATTTTGTGGACTGTTTCTGACAGCTCTGCCTTGATCAGATGCCTCAGTGTGCTTTCTAGGATATTATTCAAGCACCAAAGATGGAAGGGTAGGCAGAGGAGGCCTGTTCGACCTCTGTCTCCTAACAACAGAAATTCCTCCCCATGAAAACTTGCCAATCACCAAGATCAAAGTATCCTTTAGAAAGCATATTAATTATTTATTTAAAATATTTTTCTCCTTAAAAAGACCCAAGGACCCAGCATGAGGCTTCAGTTCAAATCCACTGTACATTTGCTTCATTTGTGATCTTTAAACTCAGGCAGGTTTCCTTCCTTCGCTTCAGACTCTTCAAATTGCCCATTTAATTTTGCATATTTAAGCTTAATCATCAACCTCTGCCATTTAGCTGGCCTGAAATACGGATATCGTCTTTGAAGGCTTGGACCACATTGCATGAATTGAATGGCCCAAACGTCTGCCCATTACCTTGAATTTTGATGTCAGCAATATTGTTCTTCTCGTCGCAAACCTTTAAACAGAATGCGTCCAACTTGGCAAACAGTTTGAAACCAAACACATCCTTGTCTTTGCAGGATTTAATCACTGTTAAGAAGAGATTTTAATCATGAATATATCATACTGAAAGGGACAAAGGCAGACAACGAAGCAACGGGAGATGGGAAATGATACAGAGAAGTAGAAAAAACACCTTTCTTCATGCCAGTCTCTTTACTCTGTTTCTCTTGTGCCTGTGATGGTCCTGTATCTTTTGCAGGCTGGCTTTTTGTGGGGATGACAGCCGTGAAGTAATTAACAGTTGAAAGAAGGGCCTGTGTGTGCAGCATCAGATATAACGATGAGAAAACCACCTATAAAAAAGTTGGGAGAATCACACGTGAAATGGTCAAAAATTGCAAGCCACCTCCTAAATGGTGAGAATCTCTCTTTAAAAACAAGAATGGAAATCTTAGCTTTTGTTTACCTGAACTGCTTGTTCAGTGTTGTCAAAATCCGTCTGAAATTTTGGACCATTTTTATTGGCCTGAAGGGGAAAAAACCCCAGATGTAACATGTAAGAAACTATATCAAAATAAACACATCTGTAAATACTGAAATGTATTATTTTACGCTACTTTAAAAATTAGCTACTAGATCAAAATTATTCAAACAATTTTAAAAGCATTTACCTTTGTATATTCTACTTTCAAGAGATCTAATCCGGGATTATCTGAAGAGCTAATTAAAGGAAGTTTCTGTCTTTTGCCTATAGAAAGAAATAATGTGGGATGGCATTTACAGCAGGTTTTTAAAAAACTGGTTATCTTCAAAAGAAAAGATTTTCACATTGAACCTTTTTGGGGGGGGGGAGAGAATCTGTATATACATCACAGGATTATTACATACATATATGTTACAGGATAATTAAATTAACATAGTAACTTCTGCCAAAAAGACAAGATGCATTTGAAATAGTAATTCATACACAAACAGAAAAGACAGAGAAAAAGAGTATTGACTCATACACAACCTCCATTACTTTATCGGTTTAGTTACCTTGAATTTCATGATAATCCAAGCTAATTTTCTTCAAATACGATACTGCTCTCAAGTCATACGTTCTAATAGTTGCTTCCATTCCAAGCTGCTTTACATTGAACACAATAATTGTTTCTTCTCTCTGCAGTTGTTTAGTCAGCTCCAAAACCACCTAAATAAATAAGGGACTCAAATAAGTTCCAAAGACTTTTTTTCAAAACCACTATTGACTCTCTGTACTTCCAACATCCTGAAGAGGTAAATCCTGCTCATAGGAGTAGCCACTGGAAGGCACCGCCTCAGAAAAGATACTATTTCCTCCAGGGAGCCACGGAAGAGATGAATGACTCAGCTAAGCTGGGGACACTTAAGGTGTTTACCTTTAACTTTAAGCAACAGTGACAGGACGAAGACCCAAATGCTACTACTCCAGTAGAAAGCTATCGTACGGCACTAAAGAACTAATGATACATTCAATAAAGTTGGCAAACTATTCTAGTTACAATATTTACAAACTGCTTCCCAAACACTCAAGTTCTGAAAATACCATTTAAAACTAAAAGAGTAGGAATAGAATATTGAGGAAGGCTGCATTGCTTCCAATGCATCACATGTTTGATCCAGTACTTCAATGGCACGCGAGCATAAAAAGACTGTTCTGGGTACATCGGTATTACCTGATCACGTGCAATCTTTAAACAGTAGAAGAGTAGAAACCTTTTCCTTTTTAAGACTACACAACAGCCTATGGGGCACCTGGCTGTTTTTCTCTAGGATCTGTGCAAGGGGTTATTCATTGCCTCCCAGCTCCTTGGGCAAGCAAAGGTCCCATTGCATTCGACAAGGCCATCTCCAGCTTGCATCACTGCAAGCCAAAGATCATGCACACCTCAGGCAATTTGTTCCTAACTTCCTCAGCAGGACTCTGTTCTGTATCAAAATAGCTTATGAGCAGAAAAAGATTCCTATTTTCCCTGTCCAGTTTAACCTTGTCAGCTGGAAAAAGAAAACTAAGAAAAAAATATTCTCTGCAACTCAAACTCCAGAAACACCTTTGTTTCAGGAATATATTGCTAAGCTTTCTCATTTGACTAGTTCTTTCAAGAGGGAGACAGAACTTATAAACCATACTCACCTCCCTAATTTCAAATTTCAGCTGAAGATCTGTGAGCTCTTCGTCTCCAGCCCCAACTTTAGACTTTAACTCCTTCACTTTAGTAGAAGTCGGTTCCCCTGAACGGGTAAACTCATCAGCATCAAAAAACTCATCATCAGATTCTAAGGAGTAAAAAATATTCAGATAGCACAAGTATAAAAATATTATCTCCATGCTGAACTGACTCTCTTTAACCATTTTATTAAAACTCCATCAACACCAAGGTCTTTTCATTTTCTTTATTAACCCATTTTCTACGCTGACCTGTTCCATCATATTACATATGAGATCAACGGGGGAAAAGTATGGCCCTTAGAGTCACCACCCATAATTAATATGTATTTCTTTTCTTTTTTCTCTCTCCTTACCTGATCCTACACCCTCCAGCAATATTGAGGCACCAAGTAAATCTTTTCTGGCATCTGTAACCACAGGAATGGCAGGTGCCTAGAAAACATTGCAAAACACAAAAGCAAAGGTTCAATTTGCATTGTCCATTGTTTCTCTCAAATGCTCTAAACTAGCAAGCATACACTGCACGTTCCCCCAAGATACTGTTTTTAACTGAAAATCAACCCATCTCAGGATCGGCAATGTGTTCTGTGTGTACTATTTATCTCCCATAAATAAATAGGATATATTTACTTTTCCACCTGAAGCTGAAACCACTGATTTCTGTGGAAGTGGAATGCTATCAATTAGTTCCAAGACAACTTTGATCTTCTGATCAGAAATTCCCAAATGAACCAAAGGAAGCTCTCCTGATACTTTGAACCTAGAAATAGAAAAGGAATGGCAGGAGAAGTGTTTCATTTCATCTATCAGGCACATGAAAGAACTAACTCACTGATAACTGCTTTGCAGATCTGATACAGAAGTGAAATCTACAGGATGAATGAAGGTGCTGAAACTTTGTTTTTAAACAGATGGGAGGAAATGATAGGAAACCCTGGGTTCAAATAAGGTGGCACAGACACTGGCTGGAAGAAACACAAGCAAAGAATCCAGTTAACCTCAGAAAATGGCCTAAGTGTAATTCTGGGTCAAATTTTGAGATTCCTGCTTTTGAGAAACACCTCAGGAATGCTAAAAGAATCAAAAAAGGTTCAGGCCAGACTCCTCAAACTTCCCACCACCAATGTCTACACACACACATTCCAGATCTCTGAATGCAATTAGAAATAGCATCCAAGTTTAAAGTATAACGCCCACCAGCTGCTCATCTATGGTAAGATAACACACTGTCCCATCCTACAAGACAGTAGATGATGCTGGCATTGGTTGTTTTAAGAAGCAGACTCTACAGCATAAACAAAGTATATTATTATATAAAGGCTAATAAAATACTCCCATGTCTTCAGAACAGCAAATATCCTGAAATATTTCTTTTCAAGCACACATGGTTTAGAGAGAGGCAGAACACAAGCAGAATGCTGCTGAAAGTTCACATATTCACTCTTTCATTGATCTTTCTGGTCCCCTGACCCATTACTTACTTGGGCATCCTGACCTCCTTCTCCACCATAGACTTGGCCAGTTGTATATGGATATCCATGGGTCGCAGCACATGCAGAGTGGATGAGTGCTCAGACCTTGCTCTTTTCCAGTCTTCTCCTGAGGGAAAAATAATTCATACATCACACAGGTGATAAAGGGCATTGAGTTAAGCTATGTAGAAAAAGACATTTTAAACAATACAGAAACACCACAGAGAGAACAACAGCTGGATCAATGCCAACACTATGTTTTACTATCAACCAAATGAGCTGTTGTAACATCATAAGTTATTCTTCAGAAGTCCCAAGAACAAACTGTGACATGAAACTTTGTAGGATCTGAACTATGTAGTGTTCTTTCACAATAACCAACAGCCCCTACCCAGGCATTACAGTCTCCAAGTCTGGGGACACCTTCAATGTTTATTCTATACATTTTCAAGACAGTTTCCTCAGAAACTGGAAAAATGAATGTTTTGAATACATCTCTCAAAATCCCTCAACAAGGAAGAATAATGACTGGAGATTCTGGGACATAGTAAAACAAAAAAAAATTCTGTTTTTCCTTTTTCTTATCAACTAACTTTTAAAATATTGCTTTCAGTGCCATCTATCAGCCAGCACTCAAGAACAGTGTTTTAATGTATGCTAGCTGGTGGCAGTCTCCATACCTGGTCTGCCAAACAGTAACTGCACATTCTTGATTTCCACATCAAACTTGTCATATGCTTTATCCATGATTTCTTCCAGTGAAGTACTTGAAGTGGTGTGATTGCCTTGATCAATGCTATTCAACTGTTGAATAAAAAATGTTGAATATTGTTTAGAATGCATAAGTCATTTTATTGCCACAGGTTTTTATCCTTCATAGTTAACAAGTTAAAACGGCAAGAGGTTGACTTACAGAAGCCTTTTATTTAAATATCCTTCTTATATTTGCTGTATTAAAACTATAGCGATAAAGCCAGTAACACAGGGTTTGAGAGCTGTCAATTCTAATACTGCAAATAACACCTATAAAAATTAGTAGGACTTAAAAAAAGTTCTATCAACTGTTTCCCATTAAAAATCAGAGGCTTTCTATTTGATTGTTCTTATATGTATCAGTTTTGCACACCAATGACAAAGCACAAAACATTCAACACCTCTTTTTAAGGTGGTATGTTACTATTTTTCAAAAGCTTGGTTACTCTCATGTTAGTCCAAAAGGTACCTGCCTCCAAGTCACAATACAGCAACAATAAGAAAGATGATGGGCAGACAGAATGCATGCCGTAGTCCAAGAATGGAGAAAATGTTTTAATCTGAGTGGCCACATATCTTCATCATCATTTATACAGGGGCCATGGTGCTAGCAGTGCGCAAGATCACAGATGCACACACTGCACCAATGAAGTTTGTAGAAGCCTATCAACAGAAGGCCTTCTCAAGCTTAGATGTCACATAGAAGACACGTATAGGGGAAGTTGCAGAACTCAGAGAGGTGACTGTTCACCTTCCCCACAACAGCTGTGACCTCACCTCCCTGCTAACATACCTCACATAATCATGAGGTTAGAAAACTCCTCCCACTGAGTACAGCAGGAGCCTTTCCCACCAGGAACATTTGCTCCACAGGGCAAGGATAGTCTTGGAAGCCCAAAAACTTATATCAGGCGCATGAGCCACTGTTCTTCTCTGCCTGATACAGGCTGTGAGAAAGGAGCAGGTAAAATGTGGACCTTATGAAAAGGTGCCAGTAGGTTTCAGTGCCCCTTGGACAAGGGAAAGGCTAGCAAGACCTTGTTAGTGAAGAAACAGGCAGCGCAGAAGCCATAGGCCTTCCAAGGGATTTGTTTAGATGACATGAGGAACACAAGGGGATCCTTCTATGTTAAAGCTCTTTCAATAAGGGGTTCTTTTCAAATCTGATCCTTAGGAACTGCAGGATTGTGTACCTGGAAAGTACCAAAGTCCAGAATAAGAATGCTAGACTTCTCACGGTGGAAACCTGTCTGTGGAACCAGAAGGTAGGAGGGCTTCAGGTTAATCCTCAGGTCAAGGACTTTTCGAGTTTCAATAATATGGGTCAGTCCTACAAAAGAAGACAAAATAGAAAAGCATTTCCCATTGGCTACGTCAGCATAACGAAATGTGACCCAAAGATACGTAAGCCAACCCTATTTCCCCCTGAACATCTTCTGCAACACAGGAAACCAACACCTCGTGTACAAAAGTCTACAAAGGCTGTCGCCTGCGCTGGTGCAGTCAAAGAAACAGACCAGAAAGGCTTACATTAAGGCCAATCTTCATGTCTGTCTCGAGCCAATATTTCTGCAGCGAAGGAATATTTTTCTTCAATGAAAAAGACACTCAACTGTGAAACAAAATCCCATACAGGATGGAAAGAGTGAGTGCTAATGGCCACCTGGCATCCATATTCAAAGCAGGACTTTATGGCTCTGAATGTGTTTTGATGCTGCTTATGTTTTTTTACTATGGTATTTGTTTGATCCTTTTCAGTATTGGTACACTCTCTATTATTAGCTTTAACTATTGTCTCTTAATTGTGTAACCCATCTTGGACCCTTTTAAGGAGAAAGGTGGGGTAAAAATATTTTAAATAAATTAAATAAACCAGAAGATTCATCAGATGAGCAAACCAGAGGGATTCTAAAAGGTACCTGTAGCAGTTCTCTCTTTAATTTCCTCTAACTTTGACAGAGTGGCTGTGGTTAAGCGCTCAAGATCCATGCCTTTGTTGGTCTGGAAGAATTCCACTATGGCATTTATTGTTCTCTGAAAAGGGAAGATTTGCTTGATTTTTCTTACGGAATTACAAATACATGAAGATTTTTTAAAAAGCCATTATCGAAAGAAGATCATTAACCACCATTTCTTACTAAACCCTGCATCTACTCACCGCATCGTAGATCATTTCCACAGGCTGTGACTGAACAAAGAGGCTCTGATCAGCACTGCTGTCTTCTGGATTAATCTCATATTCTATGTCGAGCAAAGACGACCTATTATCCCCAATAGAAGCCACAAGGGAAGGGACAATGTTCTGTTGTCTCAAACCTGTTACATACCAATGCTCAAGCTTTGCCTCCACCCTGTTAAAAAACAAGGTTTAGAAGGTGAGGGAGGCATTTCATGAGAAAAAGCTATACAACATGAAGTGGGGGCAGAGGGCAAACAAGGCTGCTTGTTGTACCAGAACTTTCACCTTGCATGTAAATCCTGCCCAAGAAATCAATTTAGAAAAAATAATGAATCAATATGAAACAGACGACATCTGGGATATAAAGCACTTACTTAAGTGCTTGTGCTCCTGGTCTCTGAGATATTTTAGTGCTTAGATCAATTATCTGGATTTTAAGAATGTCAGGAACATTCTTGTCTTCTTTAATTGTAAAAGATGTGCTCAACAGTTTCAAGGACACCACATGGGCAACGTACTAATAGGAGACAAAAAACACTGACGAGTTATTCACACATCCTACAGCTGTTTAATGCAATACCTATAAAGCCATGCTGAACTCCACAGCTTCATTAACTTTAGAACTAAATATTTACATACTGATTACTTCCCCCCCCCCCAAATTTCTCCAAATGCCTGACAAACTGTTTAGAGACAGAAATGTTTAGAGACTACAACCCTAGGCAAACCCTCCCAACATACATGGCACAAGGTAAGATGTCCAGAGCTTCACTAAGTATCAAGGCGTCCTTGCATGCCATCTGGGTTTTATTCTTACAGAACCATCTACAAGAAGAGCACCCAGTGGATTGAACCATGCTGTAAACCTATGTTTAAGGCCTTTGATGCGCCACAAAGGGAAGGCAAAGAAATGCTTAACAGATGCCAACAAATACATCCTAACAACTTTAGGAGCATGAAGCCTCTCTAAGTCTCATCTAGTGTGGAAAAACCTTAACTAGCAGAACACAGGGTTCCCTCCCACCTGTTTTCTGCAATACATGTATTTTTATTCAAAAGCACAAATACCTTCTTGGGTAAAGTGAGGTTGTGAGAACTTTCACTGTAACCGATGGCAGTGAAGAGCTTTGCCTTCTCTTCCGGGGTCATGAGGTCATCAATAGCTAAACAACAGTTAAAGATATTGTCACCAGCCGCTTGTTTCAGCTGCTTTTACAGTGCTACTTTTTTTTTGCAATTCCTTACAACACTTAAAGATACTACTAACATCTCTTGTGCCATTATTATCATCATCATCATCTTAGAACTACAGAGCCAGAAGGGACACTATGGATCGAGTCCAGCCGCTGCCATAAAAACTTTGAAATACTCTCCAGAATATGAAGCATTTCTCGCCTTTATTATGGATGAACTTGGTATCATTTCGTCACAGGAATTATATGAGAACAATGATCCCAAATCCAAGAAAACTTAAAAAAAGATTGTACTCAGCCAGACCAAAAACTATGCTAACCATTCACGCCAAGAATAAAAATCTAGTTTTCCACCCAACTACCCCTGGAGTTCAACCTACTTTCAGGAACAGATGGTTCTTCCTCATCTTCTTTTTTCTTAGATTCCCTCCTTCCCCAGAGTCCACTAAACCAACCACCACCTTTTTTCTCTGCATCAGCGGATTTCTTTCTCAATAGCTTTTGTCCTGACCTTATAACCTACAAAAAGGAAAAATGCATGCAAACGATGACTAGAGATCCTGTAGCTGCACAGCCCACAACTTTAGTAAAAGAATAGATGCCCTGGGGATCATTTCTAGTGAAAAAATTGAACATGAAAGTTCTTGAATGAAGGATGAACTAGATAATGACATGGCAACAGCTTTTTAGTATATTTTTAAAATTTTCATATAAATGTACTTCCTTTCCTGTTCTTATGCTTTAAAAAGTTTCCAAAAGGCTCTGGATATTTTTCATAACAGAAGGGAAAGAAGGACAAAGGACTGTATCTAATAGGTGCTGCCAACAATTAGGAAGCTGTACAAATACTGTATGCTTCATGGAGCAATGCTAGCTGTGCTGATATGTACTCATTTCCACTTTTCCTGAAACTGCTATAGAAATACATAAAACCACTGTAGCCGGACACCATACTGGAACAGAACAAAACATAAGACTCCATTCCATGCAGGGTGAATGATTTACCATAATCCTTCAAACTTTAAAAAAATCATCCACTGCACAAACACACAATTTCTCCAAAAATAAGACCTAACCTGAAAATAAACCCTAGTATCATTTCTCAGGATGCTCGTAATATAAGGCCCATCCCCAAAATAAGCCCCAGTTAAGTGAAACCCCGCCCTCCACCATTGTGCAGCAATCAGAATAAGATGATATGACTGTATTTGAATAAACGTAGATTATGGTACATGAAAAAAATAAAACATCCCCTGAAAATAAACTCTAATGTGTTTTTTGGAGCAAAAATTAATATAAGATCCTGTCTTATTTTCGGGGAAACAGGGTATGTTTGATTACTGGCCAAGTCAAATTATTTCAACCCTGACTGTTGCATTTCTTGCTCTTGATGCTAAAGCTTGGAAAACTTGGTAATTTGTATTTTTGGTTTTCTTATTCTGTAAGCCACATTATGAAGGTTGTGCCCCAAGAAGGCAGAGTATATGTAAGAAATAAACTAGACAGCAACACTGATTCGAACTAGATTATTTGCAAATAAACAAAAAAACAAAAACTCACAAAATTTGTCTAAACCTGAGTTTCTGTGCTATTAATACCTTTATAGATTGCTGCTTTTAAGTGTCCTCTCTTTTTCTGCTGCCATTTTAAGATGGTCTAGAAATATTTTATTTATTTATTTATTGATTGATTGATTTATTGATTTATTGATTTATAAGTTGACTCATGCAAAACACAAGAGGGTGCCTTCACATTTCCCACTTCCATGTACACTGCACAACCAGACTGACAGTTGCATCCTGTCTGCATTCTGAGCAGCTAATTTATATTGAATAACACCACACAAACGTCTAAAAATGAACAAACATTTATCAAAAATAAATAAATAAATAAATAAAAAAGAGAGAGAGAAAGAATCAAAATGTAACATTTAAACATCTTTTCTGAAGCAATGCATTCATCTTAACAATTTCTTCACTTCTAGAGTCCAGAACATCTAAATATTTTATCAATCTGTGTTTATGAAACCAATATTTATTTAACTTATTTATGTAAAATATTTTTACCCTGCCTTTCTGCTTAAAAGGACCCAATAGAGAAGTAACAGAACCTACCTCAGTTTGTGCTTGCTGCCTTCCTAAAACAATATTGAAGACATCCAGGGCTTTCTCTAAATCCTATAGGAAAAAAAAACAAGAAATTAGCCTTAGTGTAACATCCAAGTATCTTCTCAAACTTTATTCTACTAAATCTCTTCACTTGCTGTGAACGACAGAAGTCATGCCATCAATTTACTATGAGTCATGCCAGGTGGACGGATCCAACTGGCTCAGGATTTTACCATTTCACAGCCAAGATGTACAGAATTTTAAACAGAGTTAAAGGGTTATAAAAAGAAATCCAACAGTATTCATTTCTTTTTGCCAAGGGGGCCTCTGCTAAATACCTGGCAAGCCACTGTGTTTTCATTTTCTGTTCTGCATTTACATATCGTGAGAATTATCTAACGTTTTGAGTTGGTAGTCTAACTATTCAGCCTCACTGTGACTCAAAACAGCTTTCCCTGTTAGGAAAACATTCCTACATTATGGTTTCTCAAAATAATTTTCTTGCACTGTTGTCAAAAATGTTGAAGATGAGATTATTTGAGCGGATGTGGAACTGGGGTGGGGGGTATTATGGCAATACATTTCACAAGCTCCATATTTGCAAATCCAATTTTAAAACACACACTCCTACAAGTACCTGTATTTGTTTCTGAGTTTCTTCTGATATTTTGGTTTGTGTCAGCTTACTCTTGTAAATATTTTTGTAACTTTTCAGAAGCTGCCTATGGTGTCTTATGTTACTCCATGACCACATGTGGGTATATCGTCTTATGTGAACCTCAAGAATACTATTCCCCACGTATTTCCACCTGCAAGAATGAAGACAAGTTATTTTTCCCTCCTCTCTTTTGTGCAATTGAGAAATATGTGAGAAACTTTTAAACATGCAATAATAACATAGCACAAGAGCAGGTAAAAGATCGGCAATGTAACAAAAAAAAAAACAAGAGAAGAGGAAGGATCATCATTAAATGTACTTTGCCAAGCTCATCATACATTATGTTAGCCTGATCCTGTTTCTTAGTTAAGAAACTTCCTGATGACATCCAGTGGGACATCACTTGGGATCACCAGCAAGATGTTGTTTGCAACTTACGCTGCTTGCCTTCTGCAGACATAACTATGCAACAGGATTTTGACCGCCACATATGAAATGGTGAGCACTCATATTGTGTACAGGATTGCTGTTTAAGAATCCCCTGCCTAAACAGAATCATTGTGCACTGTTAAACTGTTTCTTGACCAGGAAAAAGATAATTAAAGGAAGTTTCTAACTTACCATTGTTTGGCATGCTTATGCAGAGGTACGTCTGGTCTGTACTTCCTGTACGGGGCATTTCGAACCATGTAATCTATGGACTCCAGAAGGTCAATCATACTAAGGTACTGAACAGAAGAAGTGGGACAAAGAATTCTTCCTCACTAGAGAATCACAGGGCTTCAGTCATACACTTAAAGAAAACAAGTAATGCCCTGCTATGCAAAAAGAAGTCTATCTATTCTGTTTGACACAATGCCAACAATCACAACCAGCCAAACATACCCAGGAAGTTCACCACCAGGATGAGCAAAAAATGGCCGCCGCCACCGATGTTTGTCTCTGGCCCTGGGCCCTAGAGGTTTCTTGTCTCAGACTAAGAATCCACCCTGAAAGCTGTACTCCAAAGCAAACTCCCAAACCTTCCCAAGTTCTGTTCAGATCACAGCAGCTGTGTTTCAACAGCCAAACCTTAGATTCAAAATGTACCCTAAGAATACAAAACAAATTTAGCTGCTTTGACCAAAATTTGACAATCCCCTCAAACTAACTGTAAGAAACACACCAAAAATCCTCAGGAAAGCAGGAACAAACCTTTATTTTCTCCAGAAATATGAATGCATGATAAATGAACACGGTACCTGTGTTGCTTTTTCAGGTACTTATAAAACCATCACTATTAAGCAAGAATTTGGAATGAGCCCAGTACAGGTGACTAAAGTTAATGCCTCAAACCTAAATCACAATGGCCAAGGAATTGTTCTTACCTGTGGCTTGGTCAGTTCAACAGCGATGCTCTGGACTTCCATGCTCCAATCAATTTTGGGAGTCTGTAGTTCTATTTCTGCGTGTGGGTTAATGTACAGCTTTGCAGAGGCTGATACCGGCTTAAATACTAAAAGGGGCATGGAGACAGACACATAAACAAGTTAGAAAGCAAGTTCTGGGTTTACAACTAGCTCCATGCTAACAAGAATAAGTTACAAGCTGCCCAATGCTATCAGGAATGCTAACAAGAGTTCACATTTAAAATGTGCTTTATATACTTAAGTGTATTTATTATCTAGGAATATGAAGCAGGGCATAGGCTTGAACTTTTCTATCGGATCCTCCTCTCCTGTCCCTCTCTGCCCACATGACAAATGCAAAGGAATCTTTGTGCTACCACTCCTTCCCCATTCCACAGGCAGTCTTTCTTCCCTCAGTGTGAGGCCTTGACACCACAGATGCTCAGTGCTCCCAGTCTGCTGAGACTCAGAGGACACATGGCAAATTGAAGTGTCACTGCAACACAGCAAGCTAGCATCAGTTCCATTAGGCTGAGCTCTGCCTCATGTGGCCATCCTGACTGCCCCACATTTGAGCGCTACCCAAAATATCAAGAAACGAAAGGCATGTGCATCCCAGTTCTTCTCGTACTTACTATACTGATGATTTGGAAGTTTCTGGCCAGTGGAAGGGACTCCTTTTTTCAACCGCTCCTGTAAATTGACAAACGTAAACTGGAAAAAATCTGAAGCATGTTGGTTACAATTTAGAGCGGGTGATTTTGGTGAACCTTAATTCCCATATTTATTAAAAGAATTTATGAATCTCACTTTCTGCCCCAAAGGCTCCCAAAGCAATGTGCAGAGAAAGAGACTGAAAACTTGACCAGCTCCTTACTTTTAAAGGAGCTGCAATGCATTTGTAAAACCTGTAGACAATTCAAGCACCATGTCCACAGCTCTTCCAAATCTTTTACAGGACATGCACATATATTACAACTTTGCTATTACACTTCCTTGCACAGCATTCAAATACAGATCTGAAGAACTCCATCTTTCAAGTAGTGTAGGAAAACAATGTTGTGGAATAAAATAATTCTATCTCAAGTGATCTTAAATACTAACAAATGTCTATAGCTTCTAACTGCTGTATATAGAAAGGATATCATTGGTATATGAAGGCTTTAAATCTGAAGCAGGAAAAAGCAGTCAAAAGAAAGCAAGGGGAGAAGGAAAGCAGCCAAAGGGCAATGAAAGACAGAAAGGAGGAGGGGGGAAAATGATGTTTCATATATACAAAAAGCACGGTAAGGAACAGAGTTTAAACTTTAGCTCCAAGTATAGACACATAGAACTGAAACTGTAGTGCAATAAAAGGAAAAAGAAAACAAAAATGCTGTGACACTTTAAAGATTGTTATACTTCATTGAGAGCTTCCCAGTCTACATCCACTTTTCATACTCAAAAACACAAACAGAAACTAATGTAAACATGTAATGTTTCCCAGATTGCAACAGAGAAATAGATTTTAAGGTTGGTAGACTGTTGCAGCATTAATAAATACACTAACAGATGTACTTTCCTAATAGGAAAGTGCAAACAATATTGAAGCAAATAATTATTTCAATGGAGAAAAAAGGACCATAAATTCTGTGTGTGTATGACTTCCTGTTACTTTAAAAATCACGCAATAAAAAAGAGGTAATGTGCACCTTTTATTTCTATTTCAATTTAAACCATCTCATGACTATGCTGTTCTTGGAAATCAGGATGTTACGTATTAAAAACTCAATTTCCAAAATAAACATGACTTCTTTTGTCACTTGGAAACACAAGAACGATCATATACACAGAGACTCTTTTGACTGACAAATGGCAAACAATTACAGATCAAAAAGATAAACTAGGAACAGTTTGGTATGATGTTTGATGAAAACAGTGTTCATTACTGAATTCCAAATATCCTGTTTAGAAAATTAGATCTCATGATGAAAACTAGAGACTCATTCCGCATGCTACACTTGACACAAATGAAAGAATTTGTCACAGTTCATATGGGACAACTTAAAGGAGTTATATAGGCTACTTGGAAAACACAGTAATTCCTTTTGCTTCGTTCAAAATGATCCAGAGAATCCTCCAAGCTACCATATGCACAGGAGCAAAAGGAACAAGCCTTCACCTCATGTATCTTCTGGCCTGAGATTGTTGTATCCTATTGTGCTAAGCTAGGTTTTGATCTCAACAACAGTTTGTTAATAAACAAGGGTCATGCATGGTTTTATTTTTACTTACTATGACAGTTCTTTAATCATAGCTGTTTTGTCCTGTTGACTTGGTAGGTTTCTCAGAAGGTGCTTGTGTTTAAAGCTTTGTCTTGACCTACTCACTTTTCATTGCCTAATTTTGTCCTGTGTTTTGAAAAGCACATTTGCAGACCGCTTCCAGGACCTATTCCAGTCCTGAAGCATCAGCTTATGGGCTGGATGGGAAACCTCTGGCCTTAGGGATTCCCCATCCCATCCACAACCTCTAATTGCAATTAATAGTGATCAAGAGATAAGAGGATAATTAAAAGATATTTAAACATTAAATACCCTTCAAAGTCTGAGCTCTGCTTTGCGGACAGGAAAGCTGTTGCAATGGGGCTTACCTTTGAGTAGACTTACATGGAACTGAGCTGTGCTTTTTATGCTTGGTGGGAGAGATAGCTTCCACTGTTCATAAAATTAATTTTAAAGCTTCAGCCATGTGGCATGGAGCATTATAATTAGAGACCCTCTAACATTTACAGCAATGCAGTAAAAATCACAACATACATAATTATGAGAAAGAACCATCTGTTAGCCATTAAATGTACTAGCTAACTCTCTAGTAATGATATTATGGCATAAGCCTTAGAATGTAATCTTCTTAAGAGATAGAGAGGTTTGGCAAACAAGGGCACCTGAACAACAGGAGTGGGCTGAGAACTACGTTGAGGGCAAACCTAATTGGCAAGAGATAAAATGAGCTGGTTCAACAGAAGCATGTTATTAGATGTGTGTGTGTGTGTTCAAGTCTACAAAGGCACCAAAATTTAGTTGACATGCAATAATCTCTGGGCAGAGAGACCACTAATTGCTTGAACTCTAAATGACTGCAAGACAACTTAGTTATCTAAAACTCTTGCAACACTATTGGACAGCCATTCTCATTAAAACACTCTTAAACTCTGCCTCTTTGGAGCAGCAGTCCTGCTTTCTACAGTCCCCGGGAGTTTTAGAAAAACAAGGGCTTCAGAGACGATATTCTCAACACTGAGAGGGGGAAAGTCTGGAACTAAAAGGTTTCCAAGTTCCTTTTCTAAGTTTTATATCAATACAATTTCCTCCAAGAATAGCAATATCGTAATAAGACAATAAGCTGTGTTTTGAATGTATACATCTACACATAAAAAGGAAATTACCAGTATTTCTTCCCTGGAAGCATGGTAATACAGTTCACTATCCACGTTCCAGTAGACACTGAGGGAATCCAGACACAAAAACTGAAAATACAGACATAGCAAAAAAGTTGCTATGAGATACAAGTAAAGTAACTAAATTTAAACCACACATTTAAAAAAAAATCATGGAGCAATTCAAGCCAAAGTTCATGAAGGAGGCAAATAATATATTAAGAGCAACAATGAATTCAATGAGACAGCTGGTCCCTAGATAACATGTAGGGTTTATCCAGCCACAAGACCATGCACGGGGGGGGAGGGGGGGGCTGCCCTGAAGGCCTTTTTTTGCTTTGAGTTCTCAAAAGTTCCAATGGGTTTTGCACAGGCACAGAAACACCCACATGTGCGACTCACAGAGACCACAATGAAAAAGTGAAAAGAAAGTTAACAATTGAAACTTCCACTTAATAGGCTGGATCTAGACTCAGCCATATGTACAGCAAACCCAGTAACACCACTGAACATATTGTCTAGTTTTTAGGATATATTTTGAAACAGATAAATTCTCTTGCACAAACTTTTCTTTCTTATGACTTTACAGGACTCCTAACTTCAATATGGAGGTCTGTTCCTGAATTTTGCATTAGTGACCAACTATACCTTGTATATGATCTTTGCAGCCTCATTTAGAATGCAAGGAGTCCAGTTTTCATTGGTAGTCTGGAAATTGAAAAAAAAATGTGTAATTATATTATTGTTATTAGAATTGGTGTTGCTCAGCCACCCATTTGGTGAAGATATTTTTCATAGATGAATTGTATCATTTTTCTCACAAAGCTCTACTTGTTTAATCCACAAGAATCAAGTTACCTATGATTCATGAAGTGGCTTTTGATTGCATCAAACCTAGCAGAAAAAACAACTTCCTGGGCTACTCTTTCCCAGAGAACATTCCAGAAAATCCTGTCCATCTGCATTTTTCTCTGAGGGAACCAGAGCAACTGGTCATAGTCATATTTTTTCTAGACATAACACTACTTTAAACATGAAGCGATTTAATTTCTCAAAGGTATCAGGATGGCAACTTCTTGCTTATTTGGAACACCCATTGATCTTAAGGTGAAACAGACTGGGCCTCATAAAAAACACCTGCCTCTTTACTTAAATATCTATGCAACATCTATATGCTATGAAAATAGCAAACCCTTGACATTCTGAGGAATCTGCTACAATGTACATAAGAATCTCATGGCACAGTAGTTAAACTGCTGTACTTCAGCCAAAACTCTGCCTGCGACTTGGGTAGTTGTCTTGAGATTTACTCAACCTTTCACTCTTCCAAGGTTGGTAAACTGAGTACCCAGCTCAACGAGTGGAAGGGGAATGTGTAGCCTGCATAATTAAATTGAGAACCACCCAGAGAGTGCTTTAAGTGCTATGGGGTAGTATATAAGCACATTTTGCTCTTTTTTGGCTTTACTAACATGTTTTGCATTTTCATTTTCAAACATCTCATTTTCAAATAAGTTTACAAGTAGTAGTTTCGTCTTTATCAGAAGCATGGCAATGCATCCATGTGTTGTTAAAACCACATGCGTTCTACAGCAAAAAAGACAAATTTACCAGTAGGCTCAGCTCTCCCAGCGTCAGTCCAAATGCAAGTGGTCGGCTAGGATCTGTGATCTACAAAAGATAAAAACAGAAATTATTAACGTTGCATTATGCATCTGCAAATGCCAATGAACATGCTGAAACCTGAAGTATTTTATGATTTTCTACCTTAATATATTTTGAGGAAAGCATCAGCTGTTGCAGATACATACAGAATTGTTAGGAGACTCAAAAAGAAAGACAATAAGAATTTCTAGGAATAAGGCATGATTTGCTGAAAAGCCACATTTTATAACACAAATTTCTCTTTTATTCCTTGAAATTTTTATTACCCCTACCTTTTTCTCCTAAGGACAGAATCCTGTACGTAGTGTGAACTGCAACTAGGTAAACATTCTTCACAGAAGGGGTGCTGGAGGACTCTTGAGAGTCCCCTGGACTGCAAGGAGAACAAACCTATCAATTCTAAAGGAAATCAACCCTGAGTGCTCACTGGAAGGACAGATCCTGAAGCTGAGGCTCCAATACTTTGGCCATCTCATTAGAAGACTCCCTGGAAAAGTCCCTGATGTTGGGAAAGAGAGCAAGAAGACAAGGGGACGACAGAGGACGAGATGGTTGGACAGTATCATCGAAGCTACCAACATGAATTTGACCCAACTCCGGAAGGCAGTGGAAGACAGGAGGGCCTGGCATGCTCTGGTCCATGGGGTCACGAAGAGTCAGACATGACTAAACGACTAAACAACAAACATTCTTACAGGACTCTAGCTTTCATCTCTGGATTTCTTCCCATGTTTCTCATGTCACTACCCTCTGCCTCATTCTTTTGAGACATAGCTGCTTTGTGTGTGTGTGTGGAAAAGGCTCAACGGTATCATTTCATACGATCATTTATTTACCGTACTTAATTTTTTTCTATCTCAAAAATGGATCAAGATGATAAAACTCTTATTATAACACCTAATTAAAGTTCCTTTAAAAACAGAAATTACAAAATTTACCTTTCTATAGGAAAGTTTGGGAAATGTAACAACATGTCCAGAAGAGGAATATTTAACTTAAATATTTGTTGGTAACTGTGAGTCTTTTTAACTATTTGTAAAAAAACAAGGCATAAATACCAGAAATGTATACAGGGAGATTAGCCTCCTATTTGCAAAATAAAATAAAATAAAAAGGAATTCACATTACTTACATCATCCTCATACTTGATATGGATGCTTGTGATTTTGACTTGAACATTTTTGATAACTTGTGTTGCAAGCTTTTCCAAAAATGTATCTTTCTTCTGTTCCTTTGGTTTATCTAAAAATAATTTTTGCCAATCAGACTCTACCCCAAGACTATACTTTTCCAAAGTTATCTTGTTTCATTAGACATTCAAAGTATAATACTAAATATCACTCTGTAGAGGCTACATTTACTTTGTATCCCTTGCAAATGACAGCAACCATGAATTTGCTTTCATTTTGACATTTTAGCTAGAGGAGGGGAGATACACTTTTCTTTTTCAATTGCTCTAAATCCCCCAATTTGTCTTTATTTCTCAAAAACGGGGAAAGAAAGAAAATCAGTGGAAAAGTCAACATACATCAAAGCCAAAAACACTTTTCTGGGAAATTGCCAACAAAGTGTCTTTGTACTCACATTATGCTACATTTCACAAAATGCTGATTTCAGGTACTGGACATATTCCTCCAAATCATTTAACAGATTAACTACTTAAATATAATTGTTTGACAAGGAGAGGGCTATCTAGAAACACAATTAACATAGCATACACATGCATATGCGTATGAATTTGGAATGTCATCCACCATAGCATACAAAAGACTAAATCATATTTCGTATGAAGGGAACCAGCCTGGTGTGGTTTCATCTCCTCCTGCAGTGCACTTGCGAACAAATCAAAAACATTTGCTTGGATCTTTAACTTACTACACTGTAACATTGTTTGAGCCCTCACTTATAGAGTTAGCTGGTCTCCCTCTACTACAGTTCAGGCCAAGCACTGTATTTCCATGTACAGAAAATTAGGAACCCTAGTTTATTAAAAGCAGATACAAGACATTCTAAATTTCACCACGGTTGTATCACAGAAAGGATGAGAAATGGGTATGGGCAACACTTCTACAGATGACATTAAACCACCATTTATGGTTTAAGCCTTTCCCAAAGCCTTAACAAATTAAAAATTAAAGTATAAACAATAAACATGCTTTTATTACTAAAGCAACAGCTAAAAGTAAAAACACAAGCCACTAAAAAAGAATAAATACTTCTTTGGGAAAAGGGGGGGAGTAGTAGAAACAAACACCATGAAACTGTCAAGAGTCCAGGCTTTCCAACAAGAAACACACATGATCTTCCCATCAGACCTTTAAAAGAGAGAAGGTAAAGCCCAGCACATGAAAGCACACTCTCAGAAGGCTCCAAGCAGACAAAAAGCTCTGCTGTGAACTTCTGATCTGATTGCCTTGAAGGTTCCACACTGTGGATCACTTCTCAGGAGTAAGCGTCCTCAGGGTTTGCCGCCGACTAGTCAGAGACCAAAGAATGCATGGACCTCAAAAGGATAAGGAATGTTCCATGTCTGTTTTCACACCCAAGGAGAGGTATCTACAATTAATTTAAAATTGACCCACTTGTGATCCAGCAGAGCCCAATGTCTTACTGGTCAACTATTAGTCTCAACAAGGGTCCACAGTGCAACCGCAATCTGTTTCATAACAAAAAAGGACAACAAACAGAATACTCAACATACTAGGCTAGTTTTACCCACCTTTTGAGTGATCAAGACTCTTAAATCGTTTCTTAAAATGCTTTTTAGTCTTTTTAGACTTACGTCCTTCAAAATGCAAGCAATTTTACGGAAAAAGGATAAATTAAGGTTAGGCATCAAAGCAAGCAGTAGAAGTAAAGGAAATAAAGGAAGAAAACATTTACTAAAAAAGTGAACTCTCCTCTCTTAACAAATATTAAATAGTGACCTGATTTACTGCCCTCCAAATACAATTATTTTTATTGTTTATTGTTCTATGTATGCACTTCAAATAAGCCTATATAAAAATGATTATGGGGCAACAGTGTATTCATTCTCAATATACCTTTTCTGATAAAGTTCTCTAACCTACTGCAAAACCAAAACTCCAGGAAAGAGTTTATATTATGGTTTGGAGAAACACTACTTCAGCATTCCTTCTTTCAATGTACCCTTCGTAATTTACAGATAGCTTGAAAGCAGCAATTGCTGCTTTTAGATAAGAATCAAACAGCTTATAGGAGAAGGGATACTGTCTTTAAAGTAGTCTAATTACCCTATGACTTCCCAGTTTCCTGCAAAGAAAGAGATGCTCTGTTTTTTCTCTCAACCAGGATGAAAGAAAGTTTTAAAAAATGACAGGCTAGGCATCCCAACAGAGGTTCTCTAGTATGTGGGTTCTAAGTACCTTCAAAGACCTCTTTTTAAGCTATGCCCTACTATTATGGGTGGCTGATAGACATCCCAGGACTTTACTTAAACATTCTGAAAATGAAGGAAAAACTATGGTTGGATATATTAAGTTTTCAAGAACAAAACTGAAATGGGAGTGCCAGCCTGACTATAGTTAAGACAAAGAAGTGCCAGAAGCCGTGTGCTCTAAGTAAGATGGCAATGTAGAGTTCCTGCAGATTTCCACAGTGATAGGTATGGGGTACCTGTCATCACTGCCTATTTATGGAACAACAATTACCATTACTAACCAAGTCACTCTTTTAAAAAAAGGAGGAAGAGGAGCGGCAGAGTCAAACTGAGAGACAGATATGAAAGCCAGAAGAAAATGAATTTTAAAGTTGCACTATCAATAGAGGTCATAGCTTTCGAAGACATACAATGCAGATTAACTGACAAAAATGCTGCCTTTACTATAAGTCAATGTTGTTCTATGTTCCTTCCTTCAAAACTCTAACCACTGAAAGCTTTAGGCACATACTCTGTGAATAGCTACTTCTAACTTGGTTTTGCCAAAAGCACATTTAAACATCACTTACTTCTCTTGCTTAGTGTGAATACAAATCTGTTTGTTCAGTACAAGATAATTAGATAATATTCAATTAATGTGACACATATCTTGACAGACATATTAAGAACATTAGAGTTTGTTTTTATCATGCTCTTCAGAACTATACAGCACTAATGTATCAAACCTTAAATTATATTCAGTACAAAAGTTCCACTGTTTTGTCAACATGTCTGTTTTACCACTCCATATAGCAAGGAAGGGAAGCAACTTTGCTTGCTCCATTGTGGTAACACAGGCAAAAGCCTACAAATTTCACTAGATCCCTGCCAATTTCAACCCAACCTCGCCACTTTCAGCTTATGATCCAGGGAACTAAATTATAACAAGTTGAGTAAATACTCATTTATTTATTAGACACATATCCTGCTTTTCCTCCAAAGAGCTCACCATGGCACAGCTGACTACCCTACTCTGTCTTCTGCTCCCCATCTTACCTCACAACAACTCAGTGATCTAGGCTGGACTGAGAGAGTGATGGATTTAAAGTTACCAAGTGGGTTTCATGGCTCACTGGGGACTTGAACCTGGCTCTCCAAAATCCCAGCCCAAAGTCTAACTGCTAAATTAGGACTATTACTGACCTAACGAACTTCTTTAAAGGGCAGCTCTACCATAGTAACAAGGACATTTTTTTTAAATGCTTAAAGCCAGACATGCTTCGTGTGAGCAGATATTCAATTCATTGTATGCAGGGCAGTTTCTGCTGCAGTGCCCTAATACTATTCCACAGGTCCTTGAAACCTCAGGAGTGGACTCTGCGGTGGTTGTGGGCTCTTGAGGTGAGAAGGGCAAGAAAAGCCCCACTACATAAACAGAGTTCTACTCACCTCGATCATAAAATTCTCAGTTATTGAAGAGAATGGTTATATTTATCCCATACCCAATTCTTGGAAATATGCTCGTGAAAACCTCAGAGCTGTCAATGTTTCTCAAATAATCTTAACAGGTTTTAGCAGGACTCCATTAGAATCACTGTTCAGAGCATGCTGGAACATCAATACAGAGCATGGGTCCTGTCTCTTAGTCTACAGGAGAGTCAACAGTCTGTCAATCTCCCATTCCAAATCTACCTTAATGTAATCGCTGAGCATGCATACCCACCAGTCTTGACATCCTTGCACACTACGTTCTCCAGGCCATAGATGAAATCTGAATGAGCGCCTTCATCCATGACAGCAATAATCAAAAAGCACACTTTTTAAAGAGGAGAATCTACCTTTCAACATATAGAGCTTGTGAAACAGGACAAAGACTAAAAATATTTACAAAGAATCTGACTTTTCTTCATCAGCCATTGTTGTTTGAAATTGACTGTAGGAGCTTCACACAAAGAGAAACAAAAACTATCCCTGCCACAGCTGATAAAAAAGCAACAGTAAAAATAACAAACAATTCATCTTTGTGCATTTGAATGAAACAAAATGGGTTTGATTAAGTATTTATTAAAAGTACCTTAAATCAGCTATGTCATTGTTCCTAGCCCACATAACAATAGCTAGTATCAGCTTCTTTCAAATAACATCTGCAACGTGCAGATTCCATGTGTATTTGTTCTATGCTGTCAACTCGGAACCATCTTACAGTGACCCTAATAAGACTTTCAAGGTAAGCGAGGCTTTTTTTAAGGCTTGGTTTTACCTGTTCTACTCCCCCAGTGAGTTTTCATGAGCAAGTGGGAATTGACAGCAAACCAATGTGGCATTAATATATTATGCAGATAAATGTAACGTCTCATACACTGAGAAGTACAACTTCATATATTAGATTTATGTGTTTTAAGCATCTGTGAATTTAAAGGACAGAAACAAGAACAAAGTTTCAACACATAATTTCCTCAAATGGTGAAAGAATATTTCAAACTTCTAAACCCCTTCTTCATATTCATAAGCAAACACGCATCTCAGCTCCTATGATCTTCTAGCTTTAATTCAGGATAAGTTTCATAAGAAGCTCTTAACTAGCGAGTCTTGAATTCTTCAAAGACACTGCTTCAAAATCCTCAGGAATATCCTACACATACCCTTTTCTGCAGCTTTTTGTAAAGCTTCTTCTATTCTTGCCAGTTCCTTTTGCTTATTATCTTGCAGGTACTTTTCTTCTTTTTCTGCATCGTATTTAATGCCTGTAGATAAAACAGCAAAAAAAAAAATGCTACCATCAAAACAGTATGCTTGTAAAAGTGGAAGACCTTAAATGGGACCTGATTTAAAGCCACCTTCTGTCTAAGTTATCAGGCATTTTTCCCTCCCACATCTACTCACATCTTCTTCCATGTGCTGTCATAATTATTATTACTTTTCCACCAACTAAGATGTACTTGAGAAGCACATCCTATGACTATTAAAGCGCTTAAGATGTTTTGCTTTACTTTTAACTAATAGAAGGATAGGTACCAATGAAAGGAGAGGGGACATGGTAGTGGTTTGAGAATACACTAATCATCATACACTTCAACTATAGCTTTAATTATTCCTTCTATTCTTTGTCAATTCCACCAAACAATGCAGATTTCCCAATAACAACTTACTTGCCCCGGGGACAACGAGTAGATACAGTCCCTCTAAAGTGGCCACTACTGCTTCACCATACAAATTCTTCCAAGGAATCTTCAAGGTAAGCTTATCTATAAACCAAATATTCTGTGTTTAATATTTTACATTTACATGCACACATATACAATGAATGAATGAGCAGAGGAATTATTAATAAAAGAAAGACTTTGTAATGAAACCAACGGGTTTGTTATGAAAATACAGTACTGAAGTTTCCTTTTAAAGCCTAGCTTTTTAATAAGTAGGTACATTATACATACAGTTGTGTTTTTTTATTGTTAAGATACTATTAAAGCTCAAAGTGCATTGCAGGGGGGGACAGATATGTTTTGGCTTTTCTTTTACCAAAACCATGTGCCTTAACTGAGGAATAAAACATACAATACAGAAAAAAATACTTAAATTCTGGTGCAGGAAGAATTGTTACATTTGTTAAGAAAAGAAAAGTTAGTCTTCTGGTTAAAACCACCAAATCAACCAAAACCAAATGACTACCACTCATTCCTTTCACTTTCACATAGGACACATGCAAGTGACCCTGTGGGGAAAGAAAGCCACATAAGTTCTCTTCTTCCTTATACTACTGCTACAATTAAGACACAGGACACATTGTTCTAAGCCTGTGAATTGGCCTAGTTGCACACTCACCATAGTTTGAAAGTTCTCGTTTATCATATGCTTTAACACAAGGGTAACCCTTGACAAGGTATCCCTGATTTTTTCAGCTTTTATTACCTTTTTGTCAACATATAAAATAGAACAGTAAACCTACCTATCTGTCCAGCCTTTACTCGAAAAGGTACATCCAGTTCACTCTAGTGAGAGGAAAATGGGAGATAGACTTGTAAAGAATCACAGTTTGAGACCACTTATTCTTATACCAAATAACTATGTATGTTTTAGTGGGCTTTTTTTAAGAATTAGAAAAATATAATGCAGTCTACAACCACTCAAAGCCTTGACATGGTACAGCTCAGCCAGAGTCTGTGCAATCACCACTGATAAGCAAGACACCAGGTTGCATTACACATGTTAAAAACAGACTATTTTGACCTTTGCCCCCCCTTCCATTCCCTGAAAAAGACTGTTTAACTTCTGTGAAGGATGAAGATTCCCCTATTGCAAAAGATCAGAAACAGTGTATCTCTTTTGGGAGGGGACAACCTATCAAGACCACCTCTTCTCCCCAAAGAATTAGACTTTAACAGCAAGGGCATGCAAGCATTGAATCAAGGAGCATTTGTCCATCTTTGCTGCTCCAAAGCCAGAGGGAAGGGGGGAAAAGAAGTAGGCCAGGGCAGATCAAGAGAAATTCAAACCCCTGATGGTTTCCTGACAATGATGACATGCAGTTGCCACTGTTATTTTCCTTTCATGTTACATTTGCTCTTTAAGCAAGCAAGTATAAATGAAAAGAATATAGCCCTGCTCCCAAAACTGTACTGCCTACGACTTCATTTCCATTATTAACTATGACTTTTCTAAACAGAACGAGATCTATAGCTTGTTCCTGGGACCATAAATAAATAAAGAATAATAATCCATTGATTCAAAAATCCATGTGTTTTCAGTCACTTAAAAATGTGTACTATCTATAGTTACTTTTCAGTTCAACTGACAGTAGGGAAAAACTAAGCATTTCCTCATTAGACTGCAAAAGTCTTACCAGTGCATTCTCTTTGATCAGTAGGTTATCAAGTGCCACATTGCCTATAAAACAAAAAAGAAACCAGTTTTTAAAATGCCTATTGATGTAACATTCTCTACACACCAAGAGCTACTGAGGTTCTCCACATGCTGACTCTAATTCGCTGGGATGTAGCCGAGAAATTACTTCTTGCACTGAAAGCAGCACACTCATTTTCCACCCATGATGGCAGATAGTAAATACAAAAATAAACAAATAAACAAACTAGAACTTTAATTCATTTAAAAAATAAGTTGCTCAAAGTAGTTGTTTGATTAATATATGTTGGCTGCTTGGTTTTTTTTTTGTTTGGTTTGGGTTTTTGGTGGGGTTTTTCTCCCTACTCGTTCAGTTTTGCTATTGTTCATTTTTAATACTGAAAGCTGCCTTGATTCCTCTTGAGGATAAGGTGGGGTATAAATATTTTAAATAAATAAATGACAAACGTGCATTCTGGAAAACTTCAATTTTGTAATAAAACAATTCTGTTTTGTAAAACTGGGCCTGACTAGGAAGATAACCCTTTTTAAGCTAAGTGGTCAATGGTCCAAAGGCTGCATATCAACTAAAACTTTGAGTCAGCTCTGACAGCAGTTTGGCCATGAAAAACCACACTTTACTGTGCAACACAATGATCTTTTGCAAGTGGACCATCCCACAAGCAATTCGTGCCTGCAGACTCACATGATCTGCAAACTGTTCTTTCTCTTTAAAAAAATACAAACATTCTTAGTCAACACAGTCCAGATGATTTCTCAAGAAAATCATTTGGTCCTGTCTCATAACCTCCACCTCCTATTATCTTGTTTCAATCAGATTCTTGCTTCAGGCCAACCCAACAAAGTAAACAGGCTCTCAGCTAAAGCCACAGGATAAGAAAGAGAGATCATTTTTAGAGGAAAGCACACAATAACTGGACTACCTTAATGCTAATCTTTCCCATGTATTAACTTTTGCCTTCAGCAAAGAAAGCAGAACTGTTAGCTAATGAGTTATTCAGTTTATTCTCCAGGTCTTCAGAATTCTCCTGTAGACAGGATATGCACCATTAAGCAAATCCACCTTTAATATATATGCTGTCCATATGCATTCTCACTGGTGAACAATGTCCAAAGTAAATATTTGTACAGACAGCAAAAAGGGTGGAACCACGGCAGTACCAGATAGGGTCAAAAGTATTCCAAATGCAAGCAAACAAATGGGATTCAAATCCCCCACTTCTACTGAGTCCCTGAAAAGCCATAGTCAAAAAAAGCAGCATTGGCTTCCCCCCCCCTTTAAAATGGGAAAAGAAGAAACTTCTTTACAAGGCTATTGTGAGAAAAATGGCTATAGATCAGAAGTTTAGAATCACAGTTGCTTTAAACTTACAACCCAACTTTTAAATATTTACCTATCTCTTCTTTAAAACAATCTTTGCCCAATACCTATAAATATAAGTACCTTTGTCATCTCAAAACCAAACCAATGACTATCTATCCAACACATGGAGTTCAACAGCTTTTCAGATAAATATACCTGCCTTTTAAAATTAAGAATTGTAAACATGGCATAATAAATCATGCAATAAATGTATTATTATAGGGTGATTTTTATGGCATGGAGATGGAAGGGGCTTACCATACCTAACTTCTGGACTAGACTGGCCAGTGGTGAAAATACTTCAAAAGCATGTGACTGAACTGCTCACTTTTAGAAAGGAATTGAAGTTGTGCTTTTTAGAGACATAAGGCTTTTCAGAAAGAAGCATGATTAAATAATTACAAGTATACAGTGAGTAGAGAGTGTGAAAAGATTTAATTTACATTGCTTTACATGTTATGGGATCCAGGAACCATTACCCAACCAGACAGGAACACTTCACAATGAGGTACCTTTCCTAATAATAGCAATATGCCTAAACAGCTACACGGACTTAACACAACATCTCATAATCATGCAGCTGCCATCAATTTAAGTCCACTGAGCCAAACGTGAGCCAGCAGTCACTGTCTCCCATCTTAAACTAGCTCACAGAGTTCCTGTGGAAATAAATGGAGATAGCCAGAGAAGAAACGTGTGCAGTTTTTTTTTAATGTAAGGGCTTATAAAACTGCCCTTAGCAACCTTCTCCTAGTAAAATATTGGTAACGTGCATGTCAAAACATCAACACTGGTTTTGCACGTGTGTTATTGGGAGAAGGACCCTGTCACGTGCCAAGGTTGTGGAGGTACAGATTGACCTGAAATTGTGCCTCTGGAACAGGCAAAGCGCCTTGTCCCACAGAGCCCGACTGTTCCACCCACCAGGCCCAGGACTAAGGACGCTGAACAGGCAGCCCTCCCAGAACTTCTGGGGGAGAAGTTTGGGACCGAGCCTGAGAGGCAGCCTAAGGAAGGACGTCCCAACCCATTTCCTCATAGGGGTCTCCAGCTTTTAGTGAGTCCCTTTAACTCTGCCTTAGCATAAAAAAAAGGGGGGGGTCCTCCCGAGACCAGGCCACTCCTGAATTTGAAGGAGTGGGGGGTCAAGGGAGAAGGGCCTCACTGCCCCCCCCTGCCCAGTGGTGTTTTTTTTTTTTTGGAGGGGTGGAATGAGGCCCTTCTCTCCTAGCCCCACCCTCTGAATTAACAAACCCCATGCCTCTCCCCCCCCCGGCCCACATACACGTGAACCCCTCCCCTCCAGCAGGTGGAACACGCAGACCCCTCAGCAGGGTAGCCTTCTCCTCCTCCTCCACGCCCCCCACACTCCGAAGGGGCTTCCTTGTGCACCCCTCCCTCCTCCCCTCCTCGTGCACCCCTCCCCCTCCCTTAGGGGGGGCGGCGGCTTCCCCTCCCCCTTCCTTACCGCCCCAGATGCCTAGCTTGAGCTGCGACTTGTTCAGGTTCTCCACATAGTCGCCCAAGAAGCGGTTCAGCAGGTCGGCCACCACCGACTCCAGCACCATGGCGGCGCCGGCAAGGAAGCCGGAAGGGAAGGGAAGGGAAGGGGACTGGCCAGGCAGGGCGACCCTCGGCCTCGCTTGCTTGCTCGCTGGCTCCCTCCCTCACGGCTCGCTCCGTCCCTCCCTCAGAGCGGCCCGGGAAGGGAAGGGAAGGGAGGGGCGAGGAGCACGCGCGACCTCGGCGTTCCCGCCCGCCACCCACCCACGTGACCCCCCCCAGGCGGCTGCCTTCTTCTCCTCCTCGCCTCCGATAGGCTGCGAGGCGTGTGACTCGAGGCAACTCAAGAGGCCATTGGGTGAACCTTTCGCCCCCGCCCCGTCCTTCCCCCGCCCTCTTTCTTTTTTTTCCTGTCATATTCTCCTTTTTCCTGAGGAGATTCTTGTTGCTAGAAGGAGGAGGCCCCGCCCACACCTCCTGGCCTCGCCTCTTTCTCCCCCTCCCTTACAGTTACTTTCTGTGGGGAGGTTTTCTCCCGCCTTTTGTAAATCGCCTTTTCCCCCACCCACCCCTCAGGGACGAATTCGGGAGGTTTAAAAAACCAAAAAGATTTCCTTTCCCCGCTGCATGCCACATTTTGGGGTGAGGGGAATGGAGCCCACCTTCTTCAGAGGCCATTGGACTGCGACTCCCATGATCCCTCAGCCTTGACTCGGCCGGCAAGGGCTGATGGGAGTGGCAGTCCAACATACCTGAGGCGATTTTTTTTTAAAAAAAGTACTACAACTCCCAGAATACCCCAAGCAGCTACATTCTGGGAGTTGTAGTCCAACACCATCTCCAGAGCCACCGCTTTCGCCTTCTGCCTTTGAGGACAAACAGTAAACAGTACATCACCATAATCAGTATTGACCAGTTAATCTGTCCCTGAGGCCCTTGGCAAAATAAAAGGAACTATATATATACATATATACATATTGTATATATTTAGTTTTTCCGTTTTCTTTTGCCAACATGCTGAGAGGGACAGTAACACACTTGCGTCTTCAGAAATTGGTACAAAGGTATCTGTGTTAGTCAGTTTTCAACAAGGATAATTAAAAATAAAATAGGAGCAGGGAGCAAAACGTTGCTGCATTGTTTAAAGACTGAATTGGTGTATTTAACCCCCAAAGTAGCAGTGCAAAATACTGTAAATCCAGTTGTTACAGGACTTGGTTTCTTCCTCTTCTGCTGATTACACATTAATGTCTGATTTTGCAACCAAGATGAGAGAGCAATGCTAGTTAGCCTTGGAAACTGACAAGGTTTATTGGGCAGAAGATTCTTGTGGTCTGCAGCCCACTTCATTGGAGAAACTGTGCATCAGATAGGACCTGGCTTCTTCTGCTCAAGCGCTCTGCAGTCCACCAAAGCTTGCACCAAATAACACTATCTTCAAGGTTCCACAAGATTCTTTCATGTTTTCATATAATCTGCTTCCCAAATTGCCTGATGCATCTCAAATCTGTGAGGGGAATGGAGGATATCCTCTTAGTTGATTTCAAACACACAAATGCAACATCCCGAATAATTTGATCAAATATCATAAAGTTGCTCAGATAGCATAAAAAGTGCATTTTTGTCAGGAGTGGCATAATCCGGAAGGAAGGAAAGGAAAAGAAAAATCCTAAGAACAATGGTGAGAATATCTGCAAAGTGCTGATAGGAATGAACTTTATTTTTATTTTTATTGTATCATTATTATTTTTATTTTTATTTTTAGCTGAGCAGAGTAGGTGACTCCTCTGCTCATGGAGAGTTCCTTTTTTTTCCTGTACATTTTATCTTTACAGAAGGAGTTGTTTAACACATAAGTATTTTCTGGCTTCACATCTGGCAACTTGACAAGAGAAAGTCATTCAGTAGTGAAAGTCTGCCCAGCTTAAATTAATGAGTCTTTCATGAGGTGCCCAGCCTTCTTTCCATTTTCACACTGGGCATTTCCTCTCTCCAAAAGCTGAGTAACTAGTAGGAAAATTATGCCTTTGGGAATGCACAAAGTTTTTCCACCCAATGCCATTGAACAACCACAAGCTGGGTTGTAGCTACACTGCATGCAATTGTGTGTAAAAGAGTCACCACTGCCATGCCTCAGAAGCAAAGCCTCACTCCATAAACTGAGTAATCACACTCACTTTGACACAAGCAATTTTTTTTAAAAAAAATCCTTGTCATTAAATGCTACTGGCCTTTAAATAAAAATGATCAGGTGAGTGAATGACACATTCATGGTCATGTAGGGAAATAAATATAAATCACAGACTGAAAACCAGGTCAAGTTTAATCCCTGTTCTGGTTAATCCGGCATAGTAGGTTAATTTCTCTAATGTGGCACATTGGCAATTCTGCAAAAACAGGTTTTGTAAACCATAAGGGGCAAATGAGCACAAGAGGGCGTGAAGGAAGCACCCGTCTTCAAGAGGAGTGTGTTTTCAACACCCTGCTAAGAAAAAATGGCAACAGAAAACACAGACACTTTTGTCTGTGCTGAACTGCTTCATCCGAATTACCACAAAAGAGAGCTGAGGTTTTCAGGAAAGGAAGGATCCTGCCATTTATGGCCCACAAATAATTGGCAGCGAAAATATAGAAAGCAACTACAACAAGCAATTGGCATCTCACCGCTTTGACCCATGGACTGCCAATGGCAGGTCTTTGTGACTCTCACACATGGGCCAAACTATGCTTTTTATATGGCATTTAGTTTCCTTTTCTCCACAGTTTTTTATTTTAAATTGAAGCACTCGGGGTTGAGTAGAAGGGGGAAAGCTACTAAACTATTTCCTTCTAGCCATTTCCTCCTTAGAGCGGGTTTTTCCCCATACACAATGAGAGAAAATAATTAAATTTCCACACCCTGTCCCTTCCAGGATCACAGGGATAACTGAGAATTTATGACAGAGGGAATGACAGCATCCTGGGCTTCAGCCAACGCCAAACATGTGGCAGACCTGGAACTAATAAGGATCATATGGTAGACCTTATGTTTACTGCTCAATTTGTATGCAGAACATACCGTACAGGAAGCCAGGCTAGATTCAAATGAAGGAGGAGCGCCCATTAGTAGAAGAAACATCAATAATTTAAGATATGTGGATGACACTCTCTTACTGGAAGAAAGCAGCCATGACTGGAAAGGACTTCTAGTGAAACTGAAAGAAGGAAGTGCCAAAGAAGGACTGTAGTTGAACCTTAAGACCAAAAACATCATTGTGGAAGGACTACAAAACTTTGGCAAAGAAGAAACTGAAATACTGGCAGATTTTGTATACCTCGGTTCAACCATCCATCCAAACGGAGACTGCAGCCAAGAAATCAGAAGAAGGCTGAGACTCAGAAGGGCAGCCACGAAGGAGCTAGAAAAGACCATCAAGTGTAAGGATGCGTCGCTGGAAATCAAGACCAAGATTGCCCAATGCTCTTGAATTTCAAAATTAACATGTATGGGTGTGATAGCTGGACAGGAAAGAAAGTTGACAGGAAAGAAAGTGATTCATTTGATACAGGGTGCTGGAGGAGAGGTTTGCAGAAACACTAGGGACTGTCACAAAGACAAACAGGTGGGTCCTAGATCAAATCCAGCCTGAACTCTCTGGAGTATAAAAAATGTTGAACTGAGGCTGTGTCCTATACTGGGCACATCATGAGAAGGCTGGATTCTCTGCAAAAGACAATAATGCTGGGAAAGGTTGAAGGCAGCAGAAAAAGACAAAGGCCAAATACAAGGTGGATTGGCTCCCTAATGGAAGCCACAGCCTTGTATTTGCAGTGGAGGACAGGACATGTTGGAGAGCGCTCATTCAGGTTGCCATAGGTTGGAGGCGACTTTATGGCCCATAACAACAACATTTATTGCATTAGGGAAAGTTTTCGTTTCTTGGGTACTACAGGAAAAAGTTCAGTTCCTAGTCTCTCAGCACGAGGCTCAGAACTAAGCCTGCAAAACTACTGGGCATTTCATTATGCTCTTATTGACTGTCCCAAGAAAACTTACCATGCCTTCTTGGTCACAAAAAGTGCTAGTGCACGGAGTGCAGAATGTCCGGTCCCTTTTGCTTATGCAGCATTTTTCTTTCCCTTAAATTCACATGCACTCAGCTATTTAACATTATTCCTGTTTTCTGAATGGATCCACCAGTGTGTAGATGGTGCATGGCAGGCATCAAACCTGGTGAGTATGGATGCCTGTCGGGAAGACGGTGGTTTTTGTTTGTTCAGTCGTCTAGTCGTGTCCGACTCTTCGTGACCCCATGGACCAGAGCACGCCAGGCCCTCCTATCTTCCACCGCCTCCCGGAGTGGTGGCTGTATGTTATTAGCACTTTGTCCTGAAGGAGGCAATCCAGCCACATCAGAAAAGAAGCACCTGGTTCCACCTGCCACTTGTTCCTGGCCCTGCATTTGCATGACTCTCTCACTGCACTGCATCTCCGTGGAAAGAGCTGAGCGAGGCTCAAGTACGTTTGCAGTGGCTTTTGAAACAAGATGAAGATGAAGCTTTATAAATAAAAGCCAGGGCTAGTGGTACAAAACTTCCCCACAGGGCACTCTTGCTGAATTTTTAACACCACCAAACCTCTGCCACCGTCCAGATGACCAGTGCTCCACCTCTGGCACCAAACATCTGTGCTTGTCCGCTTCATGACTCCTTAATCTGGTAGGCACCATCAGACGGTTGTTTCACAAGGATTGTACTTCTGGACGGAAGCAAAAGAGAGCTGAATGTCCGTTCAGCTCCCACTGAGAGGAGCTACTGCCCACCTGGAAACATGACAAGACAAGACTGGGAATAGCAAACTGCTCTGGCAGGCAGGGACACTTCTACAAAGGATCTGAACCAGCACACCAATCAGCAGCCAGCTGAAGATCTAATGGGACTATAGGACTAGCATGTATTTAGAAGTAGTGCTCTGTCAAGTGGTAAAAGATGTCTGTTTTTAAAAACATGAGATTATCATTACCTCATACCTTTCATTCAGCATGCTTTGTTCTGTGATTCTGGAGAGTAAACACAGGCTTCATTTGCTGGTCTGATTGGGAGATTCCATTTGTGCATGAGAAAACCGGTTATATGGAGGAAATACATATTCTGGCTAACAGTTTACTTCACCATTCATTTACTAAAATCCCTAACC